GCTCGCGCGGATGTTAGCCAAACGTAGACAGCAGACATACATAGACCGCATCAGAGATGACAAAGACACGCTACACCGACTACCCACGAAGATCCAGGAAATAATCCGAACATACTTCGCGAACCTGTACACCCTACCCCGACCTCAGTCACAAACCGCGGACAAACGCCTACTGGACTCCATAAACAATTACCTAGCCACACACACTCTACCCACTCTAGATGGAGACACAGCGAACCTCCTCGATGAGGCGATCACACCCGAAGAGCTGGCCTTGGCAATTAAACAGACAAAACCGGGCAAAAGCCCGGGCCCTGACGGTCTGCCACTGTGCTACTACAAAACCTTTGCGGACACACTCTACGCCCCACTCGTAGCCACTTACAACGCCATCAGGGAGGGCCACCACGGAGGGCAAGGACGGGGAGCACTGCGGGAGCTACCGATCCATTTCTCTCATAAACTGTGACCTCAAACTATTGGCCAAAATCTTGGCCATCAGACTACAGACCCATGTGCCCCGACTGGTACATCCTGACCAGGTGGGGTTCGTGATGGGAAAGGAGGCACATGACAACACCATGCGCACCTTCACACTGATGCACGGCCACAGGGGCGACCACGGGGGTCTTCTTCTGCTGTCAATGTACGCAGAGAAGGCCTTGGACAGGGTCAGCTAGAAGTATATGTTCAGAACACTAGCACACACAGGCATGGGCCCCAAGGTCCTAGGATGGATAGAGGCCCTATACACACAGCCCTACGCCCAGGTGGTGGTTAACGGAGCCTTGTCGGCGACATTCGACATACAGAACGGCGCCCACCATACTCAAAGCATTTCACGACTTTGGTACCATATCTAACCTGAAAATCAATTTCTCAAAATCATACATACTTAATGTCAGTGTACCAGAGCACAGGGCGTCTCCCATGTGCCAACACTACACCTTCCAATGGGCAACTCACAAAATTAGATATCTGGGTATTTGGCTAACAAGGAAAGAGGGTGACCTATTCAGGGAAAACGTCACCCCGATACACACGCAATTCCGCTCAGAGATGCGAGAATGGGCGTACCCACACATCTCCTGGTTAGGCTGGATACAGGTGGTCAAGATGAATTTCCTCTCTACCTCTTCCAGACCGTTCCCATAACGATACCCCGCACATTTTTCACCGCGCTTCGCACAGCACTAGGCCGATACGTATGGAACGGGAAACAACCTAGGATATGCCATACCACGTTAACCCAACCAAAAGACAGGGGCGGCCTGGCACTACCAGATTTCTCTTTGTACTACAGGGCCTGCCACCTCCTGAGGATCATGGAATGGTCCAAGGAAGGGGTGCATAAACTGTGGAAACTGGCCGAGGAGAGCGAGGCGGGAGTCCCCATGGCGGTGCTGCCATGGTTGCCGCCAGGGACTTGGAGGGAGACACGGACACACTCCCCCTACACGAGGGCCACCCTACAAGAGTGGCACCACATGAAAGGGAGACACAGCCTCTCGTCATACCTATCGCCTCTGCTCCCACTGACACACAACCCGGAATTCCCACCCGTACTAGACCCAAAAGCATTCCAAGCCCTAATACACGACCCGGTACCCAGACTCAGACACGTTTACAAGCCAGAGGGCATCAAAACGCTAAGCGACCTCCGAGGAGACGCAGTCAACACCTTCCTGACACAACTAAAATACAGGCAGATACGGCACTACATCGCAACCCTCCCACAGAGCGCGATACTAACAAGAGCCGCCACAAAATTTGAGGAAGCATGCCTGGACCCACAACCATTGGCCCACGGGGTATTCTTCCTATACACTTTGCTCCTGACACTTACACCAACCACACAACCAAGCTTCATGGGAAGGTGGGAGGGGGCCCTGGGACACACCCTTACCAGGCTAGACTGGGAGAAAATCTGCTACCTTACACATCACTGCTCCAGCTACAGCAAGACTCAGGAAACAGTGTACAATATATTGACCTTCTGGTACCGCACACCCACGACACTACACGCGATCACACCAGACCATTCTCCGCTGTGCTGGAGGTGCGGAGTGGAGAATGGCACACTCTTGCACATATGGTGGGGATGCAGTAAGATCATCCCGTTCTGGAAGGAGATTCACACAATGCTACAACTCTTCTCAGATGACCCACCCCCCTTTAGACCTGCGGAAATGTTGCTACACCATACCAAGATACCCAGGTCCATATACAAAAAATCCCTGACAATACGCATACTGAACACAGCCAAATCAATCATACCACAATACTGGAAGCAACCTATTACCCCACCACTGAGAACCTGGTTCTCCCACATGGAGGAACTACGATCCCTAGAAGAACTACAACACACAGCAGCTGGCAAACAACAAACCTACCTCAACACATGGACTCACTGGCTACTGAAGTCGACAAAACCAGACTTCACCGACAGACTACGACTCGACGACGGAGACTGATCACAGACCCCAACGTAACCCAGACACCAGACAATGACAAAAACCCGACCCCCAACACCTACCCCAACCCCCTATACCAACCCACCACCTTCCACACCCCAACCCACTAGTTACAACTCAAACGGGACAGCTGGAACCATCCAGGAAACCGCCCCGTATGGAGAAACACGGGAGACCGCAACCACAGGAACCCCACAAGCGACTATGCTCCCAACACACAAGAAAAAACACAGAGAGACACGAGGGGAACACCACAGGTCCCTCCACTGACCGACTTGGGCAAACCTATCATAGCGCACGCCACACGGCAGGGACTGACCCGCACCCGGCCCTTAGGGCACTTATCGACACCACATGGGATCCACCCACTAGAATACCTACAGAACATGACCAACCAAACGAGCCTAATATAAGCGTTACCAAAAGGTTCATGCCCACAGGACCTGCGTGTCCTTCCACCACAGAGGGCCTGCGAGCCCACCTGGAAATGCACATATCAGAACTTGTTAATCTCCTATTGCCTTGATAAGCGGTGGACCTGCGAGTCCAGAAACCACATGCATCTCCCTTATTTCTCCTGTCAATTTAAAACCAATAAAAATTACATTTACAAAACAAAAAATGGAAACAATGTAGCAAAATGGGGTACAGATATAAGGGAGCCTGGGTGGTGGGCACTTACCACTTAGAAGGAAGGAGTGTAATTGACGGGAGCCGGGGGAGCGGGAAGGAGGACGGCATTGCGGTGGCGGGATACCTGGCCAGCGCATGTGAAGGCAAGTGCCAATTTGGATTGGGCTGATGGCTGAAGGCAGGCTGCTTTGGACTCTGGGAACAGAAAGTGATATATGTCTGGTGGAAGAATCACCCCCATCAGCTGACAGTTGGAAGTTAATACTGGTGAAAATGTTAAATTTATCTGTGGCCGTTGCCCTTATCCACTATACAGGTGTTAGGTGTATTTATTGGGCAACGGGAGGTTTACATGGGTCAGCAGTCATGGTAACTGAGGATTGTGCAACACTAGTGATGGTTGTTGTCTCACTAGCGATGCCCCGTTGTGGCCCTGCCCAGCTGCTACAATTCGCCCCAGTGAAATTCTGGGAGGTATGTATGTATGCATCATCGGGTATACGTAACCCTTCCTATTGGCAATGGGGCACAGAACCTCTATGTGCAATGATCTTGGAGAAGAGACTGCCCTTTAATATGTGCAATGTACCTATGGTGCATTTGGTCCCCTTCTGTTGTTAATCAGGGAACAGATCAGACTAGTACATACAATGCCAAAGCTACCATTGATCCCTTATATTTTAAGAACATTGTTTTCCATGATGCTAAACCAGGCCAAGAAAGATATCTGTGCTTCCCTGGTCACACACTATCGGTACAACACCCCGCATTTCAAGTCGCAGCTGCAGACTTCACCCAAATGAAAAATCAACATCTGCAATGCATGGGTCTAGAGAGGGTTAACTCCAATAGCCTCAAGATTTATCTGACGTTTTTGTTCTTTTCCTTTTTCAAGTCATTTTACTCAAAGCCACTTTCCTCCTAACTTTCTATGTCACTTGCCTTCTCCCTCCCTCACGATGCCACTCACTCCCGTACCTCACGACACTGGGAGATATAAACATGGGACATTGATGCCACTTGCCAGAGATGCCATGTGCAAAACCTAGAATGGGCAATCTGATGTTGAAAGAGATACGGCCGCGCTGTGATTGCTGGGGAGAGGACATTTCATTGGAGTCCCTGGACACAGCACACCAGGGAAGCATCATGACGGTGGGATGGGATCCTGAAATCAGGACAGAACGACCAAATCTTAGAAAGGCAGGAAGTGCACTCCATTCCTCATGTATAACATTTCCATATTTACACCCTCTTTTGATCACTTTAGAACACATGAATTTATTTATTTATAAAATATTTTACCAGGATGGATCACACATCATCCCTCTTTATGTCACTTGCTCTTTCCATTCCTCTACTCCAAAAACATTTCTGCTTAAACCACTAAACTATGCTGTTTGGCATTCAATTCACTACATTTCAGTATTTAGTGAATAAACTCCAGTGTAATATTTTGACACTTCATGTAAATCAAATGTGAGTTCAAATAATATTTTTTTCCACATTAAATATTTGCCTTTTATTGATAGAACTGCTGAGGATTTTCTTATTATTTTAGAGTATTTGGGAGACCTGCACTAACCAGTCATGACTGATAAAAAAAAAAAAAAAAAAGGTATTTGGAAGAAAAAAAAAGCATCACTAATAATCATTCCTTCTAAATCTTTCTAACACACATGAAAAAGTAAACACAGTGAAATCAATACAATGAATAAAGTTGCACTATTGATAATTGTGATATTAAAAAAAAACTATGCAGTGAAAATATCACTCATGGGAAACAAAGTGCTAAAAGAATTTCTTTTTTTTTTATCAACATCTGCCCTTTCTTCTGCCCTTCACCAAAATGGCGGCTACTGACTGCCAGTGCAGTCCCATTGACGTAGTGGGCTTCCAGCCTGCCCTGTGTGTGTCAGCGGGCTGAGCCTGACGGGAAATTCCAAGATGGCCGCGCTCATTTGAACCATCCTCCCTATCCTTGTGTATGCGGCTCTCTGGCTGTTCTTGTCTTTCCTTATTTCGACCTGTAGGTACCAGGCATCACCCCCAGGCCTCTGTCTAGCGCCGAGAGCACGGACGGACGATTACTTTACAACCAGGTGTGGGAGATGTGTGTTATTATTAGTCACTATGTGTCTATAAATGGCCAATGGGTATTCATGCTCACATAGCTGTAATTCTGTCATTATGGAAAAAAACAATAAAAAATAAAAAATTGTAAAATCAGTCACCTTGACCTGTAACAGCCCCCCTCCAATAGTCATTGGACATTGAAGTTTATAATGAAAAAGTGATGCTCACTCCTTTGAGTTTCCTTCAGTTATCTATACTTTCCATTATATTACAAAGGTACACAGTGGCTGTTTGTAAGAATATGTGTTATAGTGTATCTACTTTATTTTACCAATAGCTGCTACCTCTCAAATCCCCAGTCTATCCTTTAGATTGTAAGCTCAGCGGCTAGCTAGCTAAGCACTTTGTATAAAAGAGCTCCAATGGCTAGATCTCCGTTTCCAGACAGGGCTCTGTCTACCTTTTGTGTTTTGTCTGCGTATATTGTACGTTCTCCCATAATTGTACAGCGCTGTGGAATGTGCTGGCGCTTTATAAATGCCAGTAATAAATGAATAAATGTGTAGCACCAACGCATTCCACAATGCTTTGGGATGTTTTCTTAAAATGCGTCGATGATCATATTCTCTTTTAGTGTTTTTCATTGTCAAATAGAGTTCCAAACGCCATAGCTTTAAATTCTACCCTAATAAATTTGCTTATTAGAAAAGGAAAATAAATTTGTTAAATTGCCATGTGATGAGCATAACACCAAACAGGACGTGAAAAGGTGAGCTTATGCGTTATAAAGATAGACTAGGGTAAACTGAATGACATTGATTAACTTGTTTACTGTTAACAATGAATCTGTAACAATGTACACAGTTATCGAGAATAACATTCTACATTAAACACAGGTTCTGAACTTTTCCTTATGGCAACAGTTAGTCCAATGCTGCATGTAAAAGGATTTATATAGATATCACTTGGTTTAATCTTGTGGTATGTAATATTTTCCAGAAATAATGTGGATATTTGGAACCCATGTCGAACATCTATGAAGAGAGGCAAGCAATGATTGCAGCAGGGGATTTGCAGGAGTTTGTTCCTTTTGGCCGTGATCACAGCAAGCACCACCCCAATGCTCTGAATCTCCAGCTTCGCCAGCTACAGCCAGCCTCTGAGTTGTGGTCATCTGATGGGGCAGCAGGCTTGGTTGGATCACTGCAGGAGGTATCAATACACGAGAAACAAAAGGTAAATATAGCATTTCTGAGATTAGCTTTATAAGATAGATGAGTATATATATATATATTATTTTTTTAATTTGTAAACACTCTTTAATGCTGGTTATTTCAGCTTCAAAAATCTATTTGAGTTTTAGAGTATTTGTTTTTAAATATGCTGTGAGAAATGATTTTCTTCCCAGTATTTCTACATTTTCTATCAACAAACACAGTTGAGGGTATTTGAAAGAGTTTTGGGCTATTCGGTTTAACAGGATTTGGTCAAAATTGACAAAGGATTGTCAGATACACAGGGTTCTTCACTAAAGCAAGAATTCAAAGAGAATAAGTGTTAAGTTACTTAAATCACATATTTTTCCATAGTTCACAATTACATTGGTTAAGTGGATCCAATCCTTGTGCTCTATAAAGTGAAGCTTCCATTTTTAATTGAAATTGAACTTGCGTGTTCAATGATTCCAATATAAAAGGGGATGAAGACTTCAAGTTTCTTGCTATAATTATTTTGACTGCGGTCATATAGTGTGTGTGTGTGTGTATATATATATATATATATATATATATCAATAGCTCGTTAGCGTTTAAACTTCCTATATTCATATGGAGTATGGCATTCTCTGGATCTTTTGGTATGATCTTATTAAACAGGGTTCTTAATCGATAGAAGGCCTCAGACCATAAAGCTTTTACAACTTCACAGTCCCACCAAATATGGAGAAAAGAACCAGGGAACTTATTTCATCTCCAACACATCGGAGAGCAATAATTATACATCTTCGCTATCCTATTAGGCACTAAATAACATCTATACATTACCTTAAATAATACCTCGACCAAATTTACACAGTGAATATACTTACATCCTTTAGATAAAACTGAGCTCCATTCGCCTCTTGATGGAGCTACCTTAAAGGACCACTATAGGCACCCAGACCACTTCAGCTTAATGAAGTGGTCTGGGTGCCAGGTCCATCTAGAATTAACCGTTTCTGCTGTAAACATAGCAGTTTCAGAGAAACTGCTATGTTTACCTATGGGTTAATCCAGCCTATAGTGGCTGTCTCATTGACAGCCGCTATAGGCGCTTCCGCGCTTCTCACTGTGATTTTCACAGTGAGCAGACACCAGCGTCCATAGAAAAGCATTGAGAATGCTTTCCTATGGATTGGCTGAATGCGCGCACTGCTCTTTCCGCGCATGCACATTCAGCCGATGATGGGAAAAGGAGGCGGAGAGTCCCCACCACCGAGGGAGCCCGGCGGTGAAGAAAAGGTATGTGTTTAACCCCTTCCTCACCCTAGAGCCCGGCGGGAGGGGGACCCTAAGGGTGGGGGGGACCTAGAGAGACTCTAGTGCCAGGAAAACGAGAGTGTTTTCCTGGCACTATAGTGGTCCTTTAAAATCTTTTTTCCATTCTCTGAAACTATGTTTTCAGCTGCAGGGTTAATCCTAGATGGACCTGGCACCCAGACCACTTCATTAAGTTGAAGTGGTCTGGATGCCTATAGTGGTCCTTTAACCTCTATTTTGAGTAAGTCACTCCTAAATTTGGAAGCAATTTTGTTTACTTTATCGTTTTTAAATAGTACACAAATAATCCTAACTTCCTCTGTGAGCTCAATGATCATATTACGTACTAAGAAATATTTAAGTTTAATATAGGTAAAGTATTCAATATCAGTCATATTAAACTCTTGCTGAATTTGTAGAAAAGGCTATAGTTTATTTCTCATATAAAGTTGCTCCACTCTCACTATTCCATTTTGCATCCACTTATTTAAATGAATATCTATAATATGAGGCCTACGTCTTTTCTCTTTTCCCTATTTAAGAAATTATAGACTAATCTTTTTGCTGTCGAGTTAAGGCCCTGAGTGTTCACTGTTATCATTCTAATCATTTTACTTCCATGCGAACAGCCCCCAAGAACCAAAGCAATGTGTTTACATAAAATTTAACACAGACAAATACATTTACCACAAAACGCAGCCAATTGATCAACTCGATTAAATTGGCCTGAGATGACCTCTCTCCTACTTTCTGGTTAGTTGGACTAATTTTACGAAAATTGGCTGTATAACTCAATACCTTTTTGGGTTTTTTTTTTTGGTCTCACTACTGGACACTAGGTGGGGGAAAGAAGGGGTCCTGCCTGGCATGGCCACTGAGTAATTCATTTTATGGGAATTATTCATAAGTACATTACATCAGTACTTTAATACATAGATCCATTGTTTCCATTTTCTCATCTGTAATACTACTACCATAGTTTTTATGCTTGTAAGGACCTGTTGCACACTTTTCCTTTCTCTTGTCTAAGCAAAAAACGAAAAATTTGAGTTAACTGTACACCTATATAATTATATATTGGTTTGCTTTGACCTATATAAATCCATATCCAACACAATTAATTCAGTATCTTGTAAGAGTGGATTATTGAACACGTTACTGAATTCTACTCATTCTTCCATTCACCTTAGACACAAGAATTCTCTAAAATATGAACAAAAAAAAGAAAATTAAACAATGCCAGCTTCTCTAATTTTTCCATATCGACTGAGTTCGATACAAACGTCAGATAAACCTTATCCATATCCATGTGTATTCCAACCATTTTCTCATAGAATTACCATAATGATCAGTACTGTTTGTATAATTTACACCCTATACCTAAAACCTCTCTACTATTAACTATTCCAACTGTTTAATTTCTCACTGGGATTTTATGCACTGAGTGTCATCTATTACTTATTTATTTAATACTACCTATGAAAAAAAAACTTTGCTATTCACCTTTACCCCTTCTATACTGCCTAACCTTACTTTAGTAGGTCTACTATATTTTATCAAGACTGTGATATAAAAAATATAATAAAAACAAAAAATAATTCAAGAGTTGTGTGGTGCACTCAATTCATTTTAACAATCTGTGAGGTATTAATATTTGTACTTGGATCTATGACCTCCATTTTCTCTCCTGTAATAACACTCTCATAGTTTTGTGGGCTTAAAAGCGTATTGCTCACTATCTTCCTATCTATTGTCTTAAAAAAAGAAAAAAACACGTCAAATTGAATGAGTTGACTGTACTCCTGAGCGGTTATGTATTTATTTTTATACCTTAACCCTTTACATCCATATACCCCACCCAGAATTCAATATCTTATTAGAGTGAATTAGTGAACACCGTACTTAATTATAGTCATTCTTTCATTCACCCTAGTCACAATAATTCTCTAAAATATAGCATTTAAAAAAAAAAAATGAGGGGGCTCCTACTCCTCCTTGTCTCCTTCACTCTCCCCTCTTCATTCTGACGATCATGTAATATTAAGATTTTTTTTGCCCAATTTGAGAGTTTTTCTGGGGTATCAAAAATTTCCATCCTGTCATTCCATATGACAATCAGCAGTTTGGGATATCCCAAACTGTACATAATGTTTTGTTTTTTTTTTTGTCTCAACATGGCTAGTATGGAGATGAATCCTCTTTGCCAATTCCTGATTATACAGGAAAGGTCTTGACATATTATAATATTTTAAAATGTATTGTCTAAAATAGTATTTTTCCTCATGGACGACAGAATTTAGATTTTAGTATGAATTCAGTGTACTTTTACTATTACGTCCCGTGGCACAGACTCTGGAATGTTGAGGGGTCTTGGTAAACGATGAAATTGGTCGATTAGTCATGTGTATCTTCATAAGGGGTGATGTTTTAAAAAAATACTTGCAGATATATCTGTACATTTTCCTTTTAAATGCCTTTTGGAATATTGCGGATTCTAATGTTGGCCCTTCTAGAGTGATCTTTCAAGAGAGATTATTTTCTTTTCCATCATTGTGTTCATTTTCTGCAGGTATATTGCGTCTCCATCTTAGCAAAATTAACTTCCATAGTGGCTAATTTTTGGTGTATGTTTTTTGATTCTTGTTTTATTTCTATCATACTGGCTGCAATGTCTTCTCTGATTTTGCCTGCGAATTTGTAAGTAATTAGACAACGTTTCTTCTGTTACACGTGCTTGGACTTGTGTTAAACTTTCCTTTGACACACTGCTCTTAGGGGATCTGTCCATTCTCTATTGTAGCGATTGATACTTATTTTGGGAAGGGGAGAAGGAGCCAGATAATCTTTTCTCTGTATTTGGATCTTTTCTATGCTCCTTTTTCCTTTCTTCAGTAGCTTTGAGGCCATTATTTCTGAACTTTTCTTTATTTTTAGGTATACTGTGTGTTTGTTTATCTCTTTCCCTTTAATTTGGAATTATTATCTTTTAGACCTTAATATGTTGACCCAGGTCTATTCTCTTGAACTTTACAGAAACCACAGTCTCTATAGTGGTTATTGTACCCCCTTGTAATATATTATGCCACTTTGATACGGTTAATGAATCCGTTATAGCAAGCAGCCTAACACGAAAAATACAGTGTTTGGCAATTACACCCACATGCCGGCATTTCAGCTACTTCCTCCTATCGTCTGATTATTTCCTCCTTTGTTTAAACTATTTACACTTCCAGCAGTACTTGGCTTTTTCTCTGCTTCTTCTTTGTGCACACGACTTTGCTTCATGGACTCCACTGCTGTTCCATTTCCCTGACTCACAGTATGAGTATTACCACAGCCATTTCAGTGCACCCACCTCGCGGCTTCCCCTTGCCCCGTCTCACAACATCTACGCAACGTGCGTCATACGTCCCTCTTCCCGCCGTCTCTGGGGAAAAAAAACCCTGTTTTCTCTTAGAGGGCTAATTTAAAGGGTTTCCCTATATTTTTTTCTTTCTTTCTATAAGTCTTAGATTTTCTTTATAGTTCCTTATTAGTACTACTTAATAGCTCGAACCCTTATTAATGAAAAAAGATAAGTCAGCTTAAAAGTTACCTGAAAAACCAGTGCCTGGCGAGGATCATCCACACTCTATTCCTACATCTTGTCACCAACTTTCTCTCCATGGACCAATCAAATGCTTCATAGAGATGCATTTGGTTGGACTGTTTCACCAGCTCAGAGTGCATGCGCGTACACAGAGAATATAATGGGAGAGGATTTTTGAAGAAAAGAAACTCATTAAGCGTACGAGGGGTCCTTGTCTTTCCTCCTCTTTCGCTCTCCCTTCAAGTTAGTGGTATCCGCCTAAGTCCATCCTTGCAAGCGCGTTGTCTTGGCATCATACTTGAATCTGGCCTCACCTTTGAGCCTCACATCCAGTATGTTGCCAAATCTGGTAGATTCCATCTTCAGAACATAGGCCGCACCCGCCCCTTTCTTACCCAAGATGCTACCAAGGAGCTTGTCCATGCTCTAGTAATTTCCTGCATGGATTATTGTAACACTCTCCTAATTGGTCTTCCTAAAAGCCGTAATGCCCCCCTACAGTCTGTAATGAATGCTGCCGTCAGATTGATTTTCCTCTCTAGTTGGTCGTCTCACACCTGACCCCTCTGTCAGTCCTTAATTTGGCTTCCTGTATCCTATAGGAGTCAATTCAAAGTGCTAACCCATACCTATAAAGCACTGAACAATTTTAGCCCCTCTTATATTTCTTCACAGATCTATAGGTATGCCCCTTCTGTCTCTCCAATCTGCCCGTGACCTTCTCCTGTCCGCTGCTCGCACCCGTACAGCCAACTCATGCTTGCAGGACTTCTCGTGGGCAGCTCCCTTCCTATGGAATAGCCTGCCTACCACCATTAGACTCTTCCCTAGTCTTCAATTGTTTAAGAAGTGCCTTAAAACCCATCTCTTTAGGAAAGCTTATGGCCTCCCAGAGTAGCTTCTACCTCACATACTTGTCTCTTGTTCTCTCCTAAAGGGCAGCACTCTAATCTCTCCAACAGCTCTGCCTCACTCCCACCTTATTTGATTGCTATTTCCTGTCCTAATGTGTTTTATACCCCACCACTTCTAGACTGTAAGCTCGTTTGAGAAGGGTCCTCTTTAACCTATCGTTCCTGTAATTTTTCTTGTAATTGTCCTCTTCATAGTTAACCCCCTAAGACCGGAGGGCGTATTATTATAGGCGGCTCTAAACGCCGCCGGGCGTAATAGTACACCCTCCGGTCTTTCTTACCCGGTCGCCGGCGATCCCATGCAGGCGATCGCGGTTCGGGGGACTCCCAGGGAGCCCCCCGCGGCATGTCCGACCCCCTGGAAGCCCCCCGGCCATGTGAGAGTGAGGTCATTGCGAGGGGGTAGCTGCCTCCTGCATTGCCAGCAGGGGGCTGCCTGTAATGACAGGTGGTCCCCCTGCTGGCTGAAAATAAAAATAAAATAAAATTATAAGTGTAAAAAAAAATAAAATTATACTTAGATCATACACATATACATACACACACATATACTGTCTAGGTGTATTTTACTATTAATATATATATATATATATATATTATCAAATTACACGTAGACTGATACTGATTAAATATATATATATATAATTATTGTTATATATATATTTATATATAATATAAAAAAATTAAATATGTAAATACGTTAAAAAAATTAAATAAAAAAATATATAGATGTGTTATTTCGTTCTAACTGTATTGTGATATTAGTAGATATATATTTATATCAAAATACACGTAGAACGAAATAATATATATATCTACATAAAAATATACATATATCACTATATATAAATAAAAATATTTCAAAAAATTATATATATATATATATATATATATATATATATACACATATAGATTCACATACATATATATATACATATATTAATTCTACATATATATTTATGTAATATTTTTACATAATTAGGTATCTTAATTAATTACAATTAGCGGGACCTGCCTGACAACCCATGCCGAAAGTAAAGGGAATTTAATTTGCTAGCACTATATTTAACCCTATAACGTTCCAAGACACCATAAAACCTGTACATGAGGGGTACTGTTGTACTCGGGAGACTTCGCTGAACACAAATATTAGTGTTTCAAAACAGTAAAATGTAATACAAAGATGATATCGCCAGTAAAAGTGATGTTTTTTGCATTTTTCACGCACAAACGGCACTTACACGGACGATATTATTGCTGCGATACTTTTTGCTGTTTTGAAACACAAATATTTGTGTTCAGCGAAGTCTCCCGAGTACAACAGTACCCCTCATGTACAGGTTTTATGGTGTTTTCAAAAGTTACAGCGTCAAATATAAGGCTTGTGTTTAATTTTTTTCACATTAAAATTCGCCAGATTGGTTACGTTGCATTTGAGACCCTATGGTAGCCCAAGAATGAAAATTACCCCCATGATGGCATACGATTTGCAATAGTAGACAACCCAAGGTATTGCAAACAGGGTATGTCCAGTCTTTTTTAGTAGCCACTTAGTCACAAACACTGGCCAAAATTGGCGTTTTATGCATTTTCCACACACAAACAAATACTAACGCTAACTTTGGCCAGTGTTTGTGACCAAATGGCTACGAAAAAAGACTGGACATACCCCATTTGCAATACCTTGGGTTGTCTACTATTGCAAATGGTATGCCATTATGGGTGTAAATTTAATTCCTGGGCTACTATAAAGTCCCAAAGGCAACGTAACCTATCTGGCGAATTTCAATTTCAAATGTAATGTGCTATATTTGACCCTGTAGTTTCCCAAAACGCCATAAAACCTGTACATAGGGGGTACTGTTTTACACGTGAGACTTTGCTGAATACAAATATGTGTATTTTATTGCAGTAAAAGCAAACAGTATTATGACATTGACAGTTAAAATGTCATGTAGAACTAAAAAAAAAAAAAATATATATATTTTCTCCCATTTTTTTCATATTAAATTATGTTTCATAGCTAAATATTTGATATTAAATGAAAGCCCTGTTTCCACTGAATAAAATGATATATAATAAGGGTGGGTGCATTTAATATGAAAGAGGTGAATTACGGTTGGAAAGACATGTAGCGCAAATGCCAGGTTTTGTTTACATTTTGTTTCGTTCACAACGTGTACATTTGGCTCCGTCTTTAAGGGGATAAATCCCCCCTCTCATAATATTGTAAAGCGCTACGGAATCTGTTGGCGCTATATAAATGGCATTAATAACAATAATAACCCATTAATTTTAGTGAATAGCTTGTGATTTTTAAAATATTGACAATAGGAGCCACTCAATTGAAGAATTACACTTTTGTACTGAAGTGACACTGTAGTCTTTCTTAGATTCACAGTTTTATTGTTTAGAAAATTCACAAAAATGCAATGCAATAAAACATACTCACTTTTCAATTCCTTTTACTTTTGTTTTGAACATTCTGGATTATCAACTTCAGCTGTTAGCTGTCCTCAGACTAGAAATAACATAGGTATAGTTAAAACATTTTAGCAAATCCTGTCCCTTACATTGTACGGAAGTATACAATGTACTGTTATGGGATATGTAGTATGACAGACTGCTGCAATTTCATTTATGAATAGGCATAAAAGAACCAGCTCTACAAGGTGATAAAAGTTGCGTCTTTACTTTTATGAGATTGTAGACTAGCTTCGTGCTTTTTTTTTTCCATAAATTAAGATTCAGTCAACCATGGCAAAAGTTTTTTTTTTTTTTTTTTACATTTTTATTATTATTATATTTGAGGGGTACTATCAGAGAAAGTGTGGAGTGGAAGCACTGCATGCTCTTTTGTAGTGTTTGAGCAGGTTGATGTTTGATGTTGAAATTTCTACTGCAAATTATTTATATCCAATAACCGCAGTTGTTAGCAACGCAGTACAAAGAGACGGAACATATTTGCCCCAAAGCTCTAACTAGAAACTTGGCATGTGGTAGTACTTGAAATTCTACATCGTTTACCATTTTCTTTAGTATGGCTTAAATATAACATGCCAGTGGATGATTCACAATTTTAAGGCTGGCAAAGCATCATGTGAGATGTACTTCTACAACACACATCCACCAATTGACCATCTTATTTTTAGAGATCATTAAAATTTAGTTTTATAACTTTTACAGTTCTATGTTTCTATTGTCCTCTTGGACTACACATTAGGGATAGCTATATACTTGGTAATCTAATGGCTTTTAAAGTTTGTTTGGTAGAAACAATTCTCATGTTTTTTATATTGTAATACTAGTATACAGAATCAATTGGAAGTAGCTTCATGACAGATAATCAGCAATTCTGCCACTGGGACATAACAAAATATTTATATTCTGATTTTAGAAATAGCTGTCTATAAGCATACTGTGGACTATTAGTTTTAGAACACCTCCACGCACTTGGAATTATTTTGACTGGCATGCGTAGTTGACCTCTCTGGACTTACACACCGAATTCCTGTCTTTCAATGTGCTTCAGGAAAGTTGGCAGCTAAGAAAAGGTGTTGGTGATCCTGGCGACGATGTGGAATATGACGAGGAGATCTATCTGGCTGGAAACATGGTGATTTGGAGCAAGGGTAGTAGAACTCAGGCTGCAGCAGTATATAAGGCATTTACTGTTGACAGCCCTGTTGTTCAGGTAATTATGATTTTTTTTTCCCCTTGACTTTTTAATACACACACACGTATAAGAAGTTACAGTAGTATAAAAAAATGTGTATGTAAACTCATTACTGTTTGTTTAACCTCTTTGGAACAAATGATCTGCAGGAACTATTTAACCTTTACCTAAACGATGAGTGACAGTTTTAGCACATTGATGAATAAAAATCACATCCGGCACGTCACCTGGTGAATGTTGATACGGAGTGTCAATGCTGGAGCAATCCTGATCAGCCCCGTAAGTGATTATTCCAGGCATGCAGTGACTCTTAATGAATCACATACAGGAAACACTGCCGTGGCCTGGAAAATTAGTTATGGAGTTGTTACCGTGATCATTGGTGAGAGAAGGGCTTAGAGGTGAAAACAATCAACAGTAGTTATTATATGAAACAAAAGCCTTAAGGGCAAATGTTTCTTTTACTGTCTTCACAATCTGGTCTCTACTGGCTGCTATATAAGCAGAATATTCCACGTTGTTATAGTCAATTTAAATGATATTTTATATATAAATATATTTATTATTATTCATGCAGCTCTGCACTCAATCTACTGATTGAGAAAATGCCTGCTGCTCAGCAACAGAAAATATACCATCGTGAAAATGTTAACTGAACATACAACTGAAACATTGACTTGTTTGGATTTCCTTAAGTAAAGAAGCTTTATGGAACCCTAGAGTGCTGGCATTTGTCTTCTATGATTATATATAAATTTTGTTGTAAAAAAAAATAAAATACATTTCTATTTAGAAAATGAATCTGACTGAACATTCCTAAACAAAACCCAACTCTCAACCAGTGAGCGTCATCAGGCCGCTTCCATGATTAGCACACCCGGAACTCGATTATTAGTTGTAACCGTTTCAAGAGTAGTGAAAATAAACATGTTTCCCAGTCACAGACCGGAGCCAGGAATCCAGGATCAGTGCAGTTCGCGACATCTCTACTGAAGGACTGTGTTTGCGCGCTAAATCACAGTGAATTTGCAGAACATTTCTAAAACAATAAATGAAAAGCAGAATGGTTCTTATTCAGGGATATTGTATTTTTTATGACTCCAATGTAACAGATGTGTTTTCTGTTTGCAGGCTGTCTGGTGTGATTTTACCATACTTGATCGGACTGAAAATGACAGTGGTAGGTTAATGCAAATTAGTGGAACTAGCAGAATATATTCGTTCGTAAAATAAATATTTGTTCTTTTGTATTTTCTTTCCTTATTGCTCAGAAAATGTTTACAGAAAGTGTGATATGTGCCTGGAGTAGCCTGCCACTGGAAGTAATTAAGTAAACCATGGTAAATGATTAGAAAAAGGTTCCAGAGGTCCAAATGGCTATCCTGTAGGACAAATACATTTGCTTATTGAAAACATTGAGGTTACTAAAGAGGTACTGTCACCTCTGAGATTTTAGCACAGCCGTATAGGTAAATCTATACAGGGTTGTTGTTTGTTTTTCTTTAAGTAATCATTTTTATTTGCTCACACCAGGCAACACATATGAATTTGTTAGCTCCTTCATTGCTGTACTTATGGTGCATGCATGTGTGTAGCACTACTGGAGAAAATCGAGTACGTAAGCTCATATGGAACTTTAAATATGGGTATTTAAGGTGAAAAGCACATAAAGGTCTCTTAGTGGATCCATATATTTTGGAGTTTATTGTAAAATAGATTGAGGTGATGTTATAAGATGGAGCCTTGTATATGTAGATGGATATTTGTTTTATAGTGAGTTTTATCCCTCCAGATAAAGTGGAAAAATGTGTCTGTATCCTGCAAGGCTCCTGTATCAATGTCCATAACACTGAAGGAAAGGATTACATTGCACCTTTGCCTTTTCAGGTAAGCCACGGGCTGTATTTTGCATAGCTGAATTTTGTACAACCTTCAATATTGCTCCCGATCTCCGTAGATCACTAAACATTTTAGCAATAAAATGACAGTTTTATGCCCAATAATGGAATTCACTTGGTAATTTTGTGGACTTGGAAGGTAAAAAGAATCCACATAAAAGTAAACTTTCTCTTACTTTTTTTCCATAGTAATCTAGATAAATGATAAATACTCAAGTCCACCGACTTCAACCTTTAAAACAAATCTCTTTATACCACAAAAAGAGGGGGGGTGGGGGGGAGTTCTTCCTGACTCCACAATGGCAATCAGATTTCTCTCTGGGTCAACAATCCATTCATGTTATTCCTGATAAATATGATGTTTTAAAAAAAAATAAAAAAAAAATATGTATACACATTATATATATATATATATATATATATATATATCCAGGCCTTATTTAAAAATATCTTCAGAAATGAATGTGTAATTATTTCACAAAAGTGTTGCACACAAGGGACAAAGACAAGTTTGTAACAGGCATTCTTTGTTCCATGCTAGCAGTGATCAGAAGTAGAAAAAGTGTAAAAAAAAAATGTGATTTTACTCATCTCTCTAGTTTTAATTAAAATGTGACTTGTACTAGACCAGGAGTGCCCAAAAGGTAGAACCCCAGATGTTGAAGAACTACAATCCCCATAAAGCTTTGTTAGTTTTTAGATTCTAAAGACTAACATGCATTGTGGGCGTTGTAGTTCCTCAACATCTGAAGATCTACCTTTTGAGCACCCCTGCACTAGACCATGTTATCTCTCCTTTCTATATAGTGCATGTATGTTCATTAATGTCTGAATTGTAGTGAACTGAAATTCAAATGGCAATTCTTGGAGAGAAAAACAAAGCAAAATACCTCCACAATAGTTGCAGCTTAGCCACTTTAGCTACTAGTTTAGCTGGCATTACGTTATTGGGATTTCAGTTCACTATAATTTAAACATTAGTAAATGACCCTGCAGATAACCAAATACCTCTCCATCTAGGAAGGAGAAGTAACATGGTTTAGTAAAATTTTCATGTGGGAGCAAAACCTTAATTTTACTCGCTGCTACCTTTTTAACAGCATGGTAAAGTATAAGGTAAATTCACGTTCAGTCTATGCAGTTTGTGTGTTTTGTAGGATGTGTGTGCATGTTCCTTTTCTCCTTTGCAATTCAGTAAGAAGGAAAACTAGCATTCACACATTTTAAATGTTATATTCTTTTTTTTGTTTTATAGGTAGCCAATGTTTGGCCCACAAAATATGGCTTATTGTTTGAACGCAACAGTTATACTCCTGAGGTTCCACAAAGTCCTCCACGGTGAGCACTATGTTTTTTCCTTTTGATATTTACAATCTTAAATTCTGAAATTCTAAACAATATTATAGGATTATGAAACATGCATCACAGTTTTTTTTTCTAATCTCATTGTATGAAACTCTGGCCTGTCATGGATATGTCACTTCAGGTTTTATCATCATGCTCCTCGGCATAGAATTGGAAATCCATAAATCATGACTCTTTGGACATGCTTGTGGGTTCGTATGGGGTCCACAATTACATCTAGACCCAGAAGTTCTTAAAGGATCACTATAGTGTCAGGAAAACAAAGCGGTTTTCCTGACACTATAGTACCCTAAGGGTGCCCCCTCCCTCAGGGTTCCCCTCCCGTGGCGCTGAAAGGGTTAAAACCCCTTCAGCAGCTTACCTTTATCCAGCGCTGGGCTTCCTCTGCGCTGGTGACCTCTCCTCCCCCGCCGACGTCAGCTCCCGAGTGGAGCTTAACGCGCATTCAAACAGTCCATAGGAAAGCTTTTTTTAATGCTTTCCTATGGACGTTCTGCACGCTGGATGCGCCTCTAGCGGCTGTCAGGAAGACAGCCACTAGAGGTTGGATTAACCCTGCTATGTAAATATAGCAGTTTCTCTGGCCTGGCACCTGGACCACTTCATTGACCTGGCACCCAGACCACTTCATTTAATTAGAAACTGGTACATTAGCGGACTTCGACGATTGCTTTGAGAAGTAAGCAACACAAGAGGTTCTCAATAGAATCAAGGAAGTGCATCTGATGGATGATTTAACAGCCCGAATAAGGGATACCCACCAGTCCTTTCAGAGGATCTGGGAGCCGTGGGAGAGTTCCCCACTAGGAATGTAGCGTGAGGAGTGGAATGTGGCCCCTCTCCCCCTGCCGCCCCCTCCCTTTTTTTACTTCCTTTCCCTACCAACCTGTCACCCTACTTTTCTATCTTTCTGTCTCCTCCACACCAATTGCTTCGTTACCTTGCCTCCATGGAGCGCAATGGTCAGAAATGGGGAATTGATGTCTCCCGCTGACTCTACCGCAGAGACACTTGTAATTCTTCTCTAGAACGAGATAGGGATAGCCCGTTAGCAGAAGAGAATGCCATAACATAGACAAAAGGGTGGCCACGGTCATATGGGAAGGACCACTTATGGGGCATAGCCAACTATTGAGCTGTCCTGCTGGAGGGAATTGGTGGGAGGGAGAGATACCGATGGAGGGCCCATGGTCCGGGCGGAGCAGAATGGCTTACGTTTCGGGAGTTGGAGACAAACTTGTTCTTTTCTGTCTGTTTATATCGTGTTTGGTTAAAATAAGAAAACTGGCATTGGCAAGGAAAGCGAGAGAGGGAGAACCGGGGGACACATGTGCAGTTCACGGACTCGGAGCTATGCACAGTGGGGTATAGGAGAGGAGAGGCGGTCCGCCCTAGTGTGGATAGTGGGTTTGGCATGGGATGTGCATGTGATATTTGTAACGGATGTGATTGTTACCTCTGAAAGTCAGCATGTTATGTCAATGCTAACAGTTAAATAAAGAATTGAAAAAAAAAAAAAAAGTAAGCAACTGTTTCTATTAACTTGGTCACCACCAGCTTGTTTTTTGTGTGTCCGCTATTGAACACTAGTAGTGTTTTTAACGTAAATAAACATGACAATAAACTCTTATATTTCAGAGAAGCTTTGCCGACCATGTTTAGCATGTTGCATCCTTTAGATGAGATAACCCCCCTGGTTTGCAGATCTGGAGGTCAGTGTGGATTTCTATTTTGGTTTTTATTATGAAATCTGTCTTTCTTTATGCAGCCATATTATTTGCTTGATGTTAACCCTTTAGAGCTTTCTACAATCCTGAGAGCCAGAAAGTAAATTTTTCATGTTTTGTCTATCTTTTTTTGTCTTCTTGCAGGTATATTTGGCAGCTCACGAGTGCAATATGTGTCAGATAACACCATGAGAATTGTATTCACTAGTACTGAACCTTCCATTGTAATGACATATGATACAGTACAAGGATCTCACACTGTTTGGGCTCTCCGGAAAGTAAAGCCAGAGGTAAGAGAAAATAAATGTAAATAAAAATATATTCAGCATAATTCATTGTTTGTAAAGCAGTTGGTAGTGTTACCTCTAATCAATAAAGTAAGTCAATTAACAGGCATACTTAAGTGTTGGAGACCACAGTGAAATACATTGCAGACTTTTTGCATTGTCAGAAACCATTGTAGTGTGGAATAGGACAGTGGTTCCCAACTCAGTCCTCAAGTACCCCTTAACAGTCTAGGATTTACGGATTACCCAGTTGTGTCTAAGGTGTTTTTAGAAGAAAGATAAAAAAAACAACACTTTAGACACAACAGGGTAATCTCTAAATACTGGACTGGTAGGGGGTACATGAGGACTGGGTTGGGAACTCCTGGAATAGAAGAATGCACAGGTGTACTTATAATGTTCCTGCATTGTCTATTAAAATGTGTTATTTTATATATTTGCAAGTATTGTGTTCCATTAGTCTAATCCTATTGTTAGAAAATTTAGAGGATGAATGTAAAAATATTTAATAATACCTCATACATTACATAACACCTTATAACTTTTCCACGTCGGACTAGTATTTTTTTTTATTTTATTTTTTTATTTATTTTTTTACACTTTTAATACTTTGTGATATTTTTTCAGGTACCAGTGTGCTTATTAAATATGAATGGGTCCATTATGTACATTTGTGTGAACAGATTAAATAGCTGCATTTATGTCTGATTTACGCAGGAACAAAATTCTGTTTTGAAGTATCCTGACCAACTCGGCACTCCACAACATGGGATGATTAACAGTTCTCTGGCAGCTCACCTGAGGAGCGTGTCTAAAGCAGATTCTCCTACAGTGTCTCCATTCCAGAATTACTCTTCCCTCCACAGCCAGAGTCGCTCAGTGTCTTCACCAAGCATTCAGTCCCGTTCCCACTCTCCATCTATTTCCAACATGGCTGCATTAAGGTGAGGCGACAATCGATTATTGTGCTATGTTTTCTAAAAATAAATGTCATTTGTTAATCTATGAACATAAAAGCTCACAGGCTGTCACATCCATCCAAGTTTGGATGGTGTAGCGGAACGCCAATATAAAATCCACGAATTCCGCTGGTCCAGAACGAATCCACAGTCAAGCGCTGAAAACACCAAGGCAATATCCCCAACCTCCCAATAACCGGACGAGACACAGTTTTGGGAGTCAACTGACAATCCTTTATTCAGCACGACAATTTATACAAGTCCCCATGCAAGGGGTCTCCTGAGTCCCTTCCCAGGGGCACTCCCAGAGGGGACTACATGGGGGACTTACAGTATAACATATTTCTCCCATCAGGCACTGCTGCACGAGAGGGATCATCCTCCCAGAATGCACCGTTAAGGGGATTATCCCCTCGTGCAGCAGAACCGGCAATCCATATAAAAATACATAACTTTTAAAATACACGGTGGATTTACACGAATGGACGTTCGGTAGATAGCTGGGGTCTGGGCGCATCATTCGTGAGATTGCCGCTCAGATCCCAGCCAAATTAACCGAACGCCGCACAGAAAACACATTTCTTACAAAACCCACAAAAGGAACCGATTGCTTTGGGTGAACCTGGTCCTGAAACTCCCGAACGTCTGGGAGGCTCAGCGGTGTTCGTGCCGTCGAATAACTATTGGTAGTAGTATGCGTTCGACGACACGGACCCGCTGACGAACAAGGGTTCCAAGATGGCCGACCGCCGCATGGTCGGTAGTCGAACGACGGCCACCCAGGAGAGCCTCTAATAACCGATTGCAACAATGTTGCAATCGGTTAACTAGCGCCACACGCCTCTAAGTGTGTGGGCTATTAGGGGGTATCGCGTTCGGTTCACGAACGGCTTTCTAAAGTGCCGTTCGTGAAACGAAAGAAAATCCCCATACAAAACCGCCAATTGCATTCGGCGGAAACAGTATTACAGGTAACACGGAAAATACATTCACATCTACATAGGTGTACAGCGCATATCTCGCCCGACCTAGTGGCAACCCTTAAAGGCACAGTCTCTAGTTATTGTCCAAGTGGCTAGGTTTGCCACAATGCTCCCCCAGAACCAAGCCGGCATACACAGCCTGATCCCAACGGATCGGCTTGGGGATGTCCGGGGGAGTGCTCACAGATCACTTCTCAAGGTCTGTTTGTCTGGACAACCCGTCGGCATTACCGTTTTGTTTCCCTGGGCGGTAGTGTATTGTAAAGTCAAAGGGCTGCAGCGCCAAACTCCAGCGCAGCAGCCTGGCATTGTCTCCCGCCACACGGTTTAGCCACACCAACGGGTTGTGATCTGTGAGCAAAGAAAAGGGTTGCCCATAGAGATACGGCTGTAACTTTTTCAGGGCCCACACCACGGCCAGGCATTCCTTCTCTATGGCGGCGTAGCTCACTTCTCGGGGTAGCAGCTTCCGACTCAAGTAGGCTACGGGGTGTTCTCCGCCATCGACTCCGACCTGGCTCAGTACTGCTCCCAATCCAAACATTGAGGCGTCTGTGTGAACAAGAAAACGTTTAGTTGGATCAGGAGCAGCCAGTACAGGGGCATTGGTCAGAGCCGTCTTCAGCTGGTTGAATGCCTGTTCACACTCTGGGGCCCAGACGACCTGCCGGGGCAGGTTTTTCTTCGTCAAATCCGTCAGGGGTTTGGCCAGGGCACTGTAGTTGGGTACAAATTTTCTGTAATACCCTGCGGTACCTAGGAAAGCTAGGACTTGGGTTTTGGTCCTAGGGGTAGGCCACTGGGCTACAGCTTCAATCTTTGCGGGCTCAGGCTTCTGCTGCCCGCTACCAACCCGGTGTCCTAAGTACTGGACCTCTGCCATCCCTATGTGGCATTTGCTGGGTTTCAAGGTAAGCCCTGCCTCTCGAATCCGGTCTATTACTGCCCCTATGTGTTGTAGGTGTTCTGCCCAGGTCTGACTGTAGATGGCAATATCGTCCAGATATGCACACGCATAGTCCTGGAACCCGTCCAGTAGCCGATCCACCATCCGCTGGAATGTCGCGGGGGCGTTCTTCATCCCGAATGGCATGACTCGAAATTGGTACAAGCCAAACGGGGTGACAAACGCCGACTTAGGAATGGCGTCCTCGGCTAGTGGAATTTGCCAGTATCCCTTACACAAATCTATGGTAGTGAGATACTGACCCCTGGCCATCCTATCCAGCAGTTCGTCTATCCGAGGCATCGGGTAGGCGTCCGACACAGTTTTGTCGTTCAACCTCCGGTAGTCCACACAGAACCGGGTGGTACCATCTTTCTTGGGAACCAGGACTACCGGCGATGCCCAGGGGCTATCTGAGTGTTCAATAACCCCCAACTGCAACATCTCTTCAATTTCCTTCCGCATATGTTCCCGCACGGATTCAGGAATCCGATATGGAGTCTGTCGCATGGGGAGCTGTCCCGGGGTTTCTACTCGGTGGGTGGCTAGTGGAGTGTACCCAGGTAGATTAGAAAAGGTAGCGCTCTTTGCTGCTATCAGTTCTTGTACCTGAATACGCTCTTGAGGACTTAGCCGCTCCCCCAGTTGAACCCCCTGGGAGGGTTCCTTCTGCTCCTCCTGCTCTAACAGATCGGGAAGGGGCAGGTTCTCCTGATCTTCGGAGGTGGGCGTGCAAATAGCTGCCACGTCCTCCGTCCGCTCGTGGTAGGGTTTGAGCATGTTCACATGGAGCATGCGTCTCTTCCCTACTCCGGAGCATGGGCCGATCACATAGGTGGTATCGCATCTCTGCTCTACCACCTGGTATGGGCCTTGCCAGACGGCCTGCAGTTTATCGGTGCGGACAGGTTTAAGGATTAGCACCTTCTGTCCCACTTGAAAACTACGGTCTCTGGCCCCTCTGTCATACCAACGACGCTACCGTTGTTGGGCGGCCTGGAGGTTGGTGCGCACCGCCTGGGTCAATTCCTCCAGGCGATCCCGGAACACCAGCACGTATGGTACAATAGGGGTCCCATCTGCGCTACTCTCTCCCTCCCAATGCTCTCTAATGAGATCCAACGGCCCCCGGACCCTTCTCCCAAACAATAGTTCAAAGGGGGAAAAACCCGTAGACTCTTGGGGCACCTCTCTGTATGCAAACAACAGATGGGGAAGGAATCGTTCCCAGTCCTTATGGGTCTCTCCGAAGGTCCGAAGCATCTGTTTTAGGGTACCGTTGAATCTCTCACATAATCCATTGGATTGCGGGTGGTACGCGGAGTTAATGATCGGCTTTATGCCACATATCCTCCATAACTGCTGAGTAACCTCAGCCGTAAATTGGGTCCCCCTATCTGAGACCATTTCCTGTGGGAACCCTACTCGGGAGAAGATTTTCATCAAGGCTTCGGCTACGGTCTCCGCGTGGATATTAGTTAGGGCAATCGCCTCGGGGTACCGGGTGGCGTAATCCACCACGGTCAGGATATACCGTTTCCCAGAGGGGCTGGGCTTTGGTAGTGGTCCTACTATATCTACTGCTACCCGGCTGAACGGTTCCTCAATTATGGGGAGGGGACATAGTTTTGCCTTATGGCGATCCCCCCTTTTGCCTACCCTCTGGCACACATCACAGGAGGTACAATATTGCCTTACGTCTTTGGAAATCCCGGGCCAAAAGAATGCGTGCGTTAAGCGATATCGGGTCCGGGTCATCCCTAGATGGCCGGACAGAGGGATGTCATGGGCGATTCTTAGTAACTCCTGCCTATATTTCTGGGGTACTACTAGCTGCTTGGTTTGGAGCGTCACAGAGCTGCCTATGGCCCGTTCCGCCACCCGGTACAGTAACTTCTTTTCCCATACGTACCGTTCTCCCTCCCGCCCCACCTGGTCCGTGTCTACCCTATCTCGGTACACCTGCAGTGTGGGGTCTGTCTGAACCTCAGCTTCAAATGTGGTCGGGGTGTCCCAAGTCATGTCGGTCAAGGGGGGGTCATGGTGTCTTACCTGAGCCTCAGAGTGTGCGGGGAATGCCGTGGTGCGAGCCTGTTGCCGGGTGGTTACCGGATGCGCCTCTTGGGAAGGGGCCTGGGGAAGGAACGCAGAAGTCATCGGGCCCAAGTCATTCCCCAAAACAACATCGGCCGGTAGTTTCTTCATTATGGCCACCTCTACAACCCCCTCCCCAGCACCCCAGTTCAAATGCACTTTGGCCGTGGGTAACCGGTACATAGCTCCCCCTGCTACCCGGACTGCCACTGATCCGCCAGTGTGGGCCGTATCTGGGATTAAATGAGGGGCCACTAAGGTCAAGGTGGCTCCCGAGTCCCGCAGCCCCTGCACTTCTTTCCCTCCCACAAATACAACTTGGCGGTGATGCTGCCGGTTGTCCGTGGCTTGCACAGACATCACCTCGTACAGAACCCCCAATGGTTCTTCGGTTGATAGACTTGTCAGCTCCGAGTGGTCAGGTTCGGTGTGGTAGAAATGGGCCACTGCCCTTGGCGCGGAGTTTTGCCGTACTTGGTTCCACGCCTGCCTGCTCCGACTCTGGGTGCACTCCCGGGACATATGCCCCCACTGCCGGCAGGTATGGCATTGTATGTTGGCCCTGCCATTGTAGCGTGATGGCGGTGGGGGGTTTCCTGATGGTGGCCGGAATGGAGTAGCGTTGGCGGGTGTGGAGATGGTTGGGTGGTGTGGTACAGCTTGTCTCAGGGGAGCCCTGTTGGGAAGCCCATGATGCCTTCGGGCGTCAAAATGCTGATCCGCCAACCGGGCGGCTTCGGTTAGGGTGAGGGGTTTCCTGTCCCTTACCCATTCTTGTGCCTCAGGTGACAGTCCGTTAAAAAATTGCTCCAGCAAGATGAGCTGGCGCAGTTCCTCCATTGTGGTAGCTTGGCTCGCCTGAATCCATCCTTGCGACGCTTGGTCGAGCTTATGTGCCCACTCAGCGTGGGAATCTTTCTCGGGCTTCCTCAATCCTCGAAATTTACGCCGGTATGCCTCCGGGGTTATGGCATACCTCTCCAGAATTGCCCTCTTAACTTTAAAATAGTCCTTGCTATCTTCTCTGGGCACAGCGCGATACGCCTCGGCTGCTCGTCCTGCCAACTTGCCTGCCAGTAGGGGTACCCACATAGCCTGTTCTAGATCATGTAGGTCGCACAACCGCTCAAAATCCTGCAGGTATCCGTCAATCTCGTCTTTCTCCTCGCAGAATGCTTTAAATGCCTGGTAAGGTATTTTCTGCTTCACTGGAGCGCAGAATGGATTGGCGATGGATTCTGCCCTGGATGGTGACCTCTGGTGTTGCTGTGCCATAATATAATCCTGGACGTCCGCCATCAGTATAGTTAAGATGTCCAGGGTTACTGGCTGGGGTACAAATTCCAGCCGGGTTCTCAGTTCCCTCTGGTATGGTGTTTCCTCTCTGGCAGGTGGGGGTGGACTGCTGTGCGCTTGGTCGCCCTCCATTAGCTCTGCAATCAGTACTGCTTTCGATTTATTGCTAGCGCTTTTCCCTCTAGCCTCCAGCAGCTCCTTTAGCGTCTGTCTCTTTAACGCCGTGTAATCAGTCCCCATTCACTGATCGCTTTCGTCTGCTTGTTTCATACGAATTGCCTTTCCGTTCGGTAGTTCCTTTCATTCGAATGCGCTGTATTCGGCTGTAGAGTTGGATCCCGTCGCTTGCCACCAATTGTAGCGGAACGCCAATATAAAATCCACGAATTCCGCTGGTCCAGAACGAATCCACAGTCAAGCGCTGAAAACACCAAGGCAATATCCCCAACCTCCCAATAACCGGACGAGACACAGTTTTGGGAGTCAACTGACAATCCTTTATTCAGCACGACAATTTATACAAGTCCCCATGCAAGGGGTCTCCTGAGTCCCTTCCCAGGGGCACTCCCAGAGGGGACTACATGGGGGACTTACAGTATAACATATTTCTCCCATCAGGCACTGCTGCACGAGAGGGATCATCCTCCCAGAATGCACCGTTAAGGGGATTATCCCCTCGTGCAGCAGAACCGGCAATCCATATAAAAATACATAACTTTTAAAATACACGGTGGATTTACACGAATGGACGTTCGGTAGATAGCTGGGGTCTGGGCGCATCATTCGTGAGATTGCCGCTCAGATCCCAGCCAAATTAACCGAACGCCGCACAGAAAACACATTTCTTACAAAACCCACAAAAGGAACCGATTGCTTTGGGTGAACCTGGTCCTGAAACTCCCGAACGTCTGGGAGGCTCAGCGGTGTTCGTGCCGTCGAATAACTATTGGTAGTAGTATGCGTTCGACGACACGGACCCGCTGACGAACAAGGGATCCAAGATGGCCGACCGCCGCATGGTCGGTAGTCGAACGACGGCCACCCAGGAGAGCCTCTAATAACCGATTGCAACAATGTTGCAATCGGTTAACTAGCGCCACACGCCTCTAAGTGTGTGGGCTATTAGGGGGTATCGCGTTCGGTTCACGAACGGCTTTCTAAAGTGCCGTTCGTGAAAACGAAAGAAAATCCCCATACAAAACCGCCAATTGCATTCGGCGGAAACAGTATTACAGGTAACACGGAAAATACATTCACATCTACATAGGTGTACAGCGCATATCTCGCCCGACCTAGTGGCAACCCTTAAAGGCACAGTCTCTAGTTATTGTCCAAGTGGCTAGGTTTGCCACAGATGGCTTTGTACCATTAATGCAAAGTGAAACATCCACCTTGTCTGGGTGATAAGAGATGGTCCAGACTAGTGTTTAGATTTCTGTCAGTTTCCCACCCCCCTACTTTTTTGTTTTAAATTCAATTAATCCGCACAATCCAGAAGCATTAAGGACAAGGGTTTGCTGTGCAAATCAAACTCATCTCGTAGAGGAGCATTAAAGGGACACTCCAGGCACCCAGACCACTTCTGCCCATTGGAGTGGTCTGGGTGCCAAATCCAATCACCCTTAACCCTGCAAGTGTAATTATTACAGTTTTTATAAACTGCAATAATTACTTTGTAGGGTTAAGTCCTCCTCTAGTGGCTGTCTATCAAATAGCCACTAGAGGGACTTCCGGGTTCTTAAAACACAAAAAGTGCTATGCATGAGGATGGGGACGGAATCCCCATTGAATAATGCTTTCTTATGGGGAGGTCTAATGCGCGCCTTTAGTAATCCTTTAAGAACACAAATGGCAAAATCAGTCCTCTGCTTTTTAAAATTTATTTATTTTAGTGCAATCTGCTTATTTTGAAAATCAAATGGCTTGTTTCTCTAAATCTTTCTTGTTTACTTATTTTCAGCCGGTCTCATTCACCTGCCTTAGGGGTGCATTCATTTTCAGGGGTACAGAGATTCAATTTCTCCAGTTACAGCCCTTCGCCAAAGAGACTTGGTGCTTCTCATTCTCCCAACAGTACATCTAGTGACTTTCTTTGTACAGAGACAGAACCTATTGTACCAGAGCTCTGCATTGACCATCTTTGGACTGAGACTGTCACACACACCAGGTAGGAAATGCAGTGCAAAGAATATACTAGATCGTGTACCCATGTATGTTAGCAGGTTTGAAAAACAAGATAGTTTTTCCTTACGGTAATAAGCTCGTTTTTAGAACTCTTCCTCCGCTGTAATAAGACTTATTAGACTTATTTTTTTTTACATTCTTTATTTAAATGTGTTTTGTAAGCTTGTATGCTACAGACTATTTTTCTAGAGAAATTAATGTTGTTGGGTGAAAGCAGGAAAGCCAAAGATTTGTTTGCTGCTCAGATGAAAGCAGGAGTCGTTGACAAATGAACAGATCATTTATTTTAACTTAAGGGGTTGTTCCAACATCAGGACCACTCCTGCTTTTAGAAGTGGTGGTTGTTGTAGGAGTCTGTAATGGCAATGTTTCTGCTTAAAATGCTGCACATTCAGTTTTGTGCTGGAGGCTATTTTCACCCTTGTGAATGTGATGTACGCGTTGGTAACAGACTTGAGAAGTCTTGCTCTCCCCTCCCGCCTAAAAATAAATAAATAAAAATCTACGAGAAACATTTTGATTGGGCCACGGAGAGGAAGGTAGTGAAGCGGCAAGACATCAGACGGGCTGAATTTTATGTAATGTTTTTATTTATAGCAATCTATCAAGTATTATTGCCATCTATAAACTAGTGTACAATAGGGCACTTTGAAGAAAATTAAGCAAAGATAGGAAAATGGTTAGAGTAACCCTTTAATAACATTTCTTTTAACTTAATTAAATGTACAGATTCTTTTAAAAATAACAAAAGGTACAATCCTTCTGCATCCCAATCATAATTATTATTGTTGTTTATATAATGCCAACGTATTTTGCAGCTTGTTACATTACAGAATTTTAGAGGTGATGAAGGCCCTGCTCAAACAAGCCTACAGTCTGAGGATTTTAGGTGGGCAGATATATTTGACTATAGGTGTATTGCCCAGTGACATTACCCCTGCTCTAACCAGCTGATCTATATCTGGCTCATTTGTGGTTTATAAATATTTTTGGAGGGGGCGGGGCCTGACCGCAGAGGCGAACGGTCGCAGGATAGAGTTGCTCCTGCTCTGCTTGCCAGAAAACACGCCAAATCAGACCAATAACGGCGGATAGCTGACATAAAAGTGCCACATGCGGAGAGGTGACCCCATGGGGCACCAGCAGACACCAAATGAACGACCCAACTGGCAAGACACAGAGGAGGGACACCTGCGGCCTACAAGCAAGGGCAGCATGGGGGAGGCGGACGCTCCCCCGCAGCCCTCCAAACCTGGCAACGGGCACATAAGCCCTCGTTCCCCCCCCCATGGACCGGCGGGGGTTATCTCGGTCCCAGGAGCGCCCATCCGAGACAAGGGACGGCGCAGGCAGACCGAGCTAGCGAATATCAAAATGGCGGCAACAGCAAATGGACGACCCGACACATTTCCCAGGGATGACACAGAGGCAAGGCTGAATGCCATCTTTGAAGCCTTCTGGGAAAAACTAGACACATATCAAGCCCTAAAGCGAGTCCCAAAAGAGCAAAAGCCGACACTGCCACCCGCACGCTCCTGCCTTCAAAGCAATTCTCACAGAGAAAAGAAAGCAAGAACTGGGCGCCAACACAAAAGCGAAGGCCTGCCAATAAAACAGACCAAGCCGAGGACACAAGCAGACACCGGCCTTGCACGCAAGCATATGCCGGCCACAAGACAGAGCGAGAGGCCTACCCCGCAAAGTACACCCAACGCTTCCGACGGCAATACCCGCAAGACGGTTCATAACCCAACTACCGTAAAACGCTGTAAACCGTGGGACCAACTGGGGAGGCGAAGAGTGGCTCGACACCCAGCCAGCCGATACCGCGGAGCGACGAGATGCACAACGAGACCCCAGCGAGCAACCCAGCAAAGGTCACAACTACAGCCGGAAAAGTGGAAAGGGACTCCTGCAAAAGCGATCAAGGAACCAACCTACCTGCCAGTACCTAGGAGCTTTGCCATGCAGGACTACCACTCATACCTGGACTGTACCCAGTACCCGATAGGTATCGGCTGAACTACTCTGGGCACCCTGCAGGCAAACCAACCAACACTCTCTCGTGGTTAATTGCTTGTCGCCTGGACTGATTCCGAAACACAGCATCTTAACACCTGCCACCTGACACCCATCTGAAATTGATTAACAGCAACAGTATGATAAGCTTAACCTTCAGCGTAGCACACACCTATTGTTTAAAGGGGAGACTTGCCTTCACACTACAGGGTTAATTAATGAAGCACTTGATAGCCTCCCTTGTTTCATAATATCGCCTATATATGGCACGTAGCCAATAAGCACATACACTCAGCCTGTTACTACTACACTTTAGTGCAGACAGTAAACTAATCATATGTTATCCACCCTTGTATAATAGCTAGAACTAGCCTGAATCAATCATTCATACGTTATTCTATGTCACTCAAAACTAGCTAACTTGAAACACTAGCGAGGTTATTTTCTGTTCTGATTGTTAAAATAAGCTACCTTTTCATTCTATATTAATGACTTCACTGTTTAGCCAAGCTGATGATTGTTACAATTATACAAAAATGTGCAATTCCTCATGCCACTGTTCCATTTAAGTACATTCTTAGACACGCTGTTGTGGCGTATGTCACTGCTATGTATAACATGCACAATAAAAATAAATATTTTTGGAACCAATAAAGGTCAGTCCTATTGTGATATGTAGCAGTTAAATTGACACTCAACTTCCCAAATAAAATAAAAATTAAATTCACTATTTAGTAAATATGCTCACACTGAAAACATGCATGCATTTTATTATCATTGAGGCTATATCTAAAAACAGCTTGCAAAAACGGCAGATCTCTTGTCTCAAGCCTTTTTTCAAGTACTCATCTTCTAACCCAGCCCAGACTTCTTCGGCTTTCCAATCAGACTTCCCAACACTGCTCAAAGAGATGACTTTAAAAGTGCTCTGAGCAATTGCCGCCGTCTTGAGTTTGGCCTCACTGAGCTAAACTACCAGGAAGTAACAGGACAGGTTGTCTGATAGTTGGAGATGTATAAGAAGGCTAATTTATAAAAGTGCCAATTTCTGTTTAAATCGGTATTAAATAAAAAAAAATAAAAAAATAGGATAAAATATTCACACACAGGGTTCTGGAGTGTCTGTTAAAGTTGCAAGGGCCAACGACCCATCAATACTGCAATATGCAGCATTTTGTTCCTTGTTTTTTTTATAAAATATATTTCACAATTCAACATTATAACCTAAATATGCGTGTATATATAGTTACTTGTGCTGTTTTTGACGTTGTCGGTTTAAAGGTTGGACTACCAGCCAGAATATAGACACTGTTGGTTTTATTTTGCATTGCAGGAGGAAATCTCAAAATGAAAATTCTTTACAAATACCCACGATTGGGGTGTTGTCCAATTTTGGTTATGTTTTTTGTTAAGTCTAGTATACGTTCTACCATTGCAGTTTGTCGTCCTATGCCGTTGTATGTCCTTGTACTGTGCTGCTGTATATCCTTCCCTCCCGATATGATTGACTGCAGAGGATGATAACATATTTATTCCCAAACTAAAATTGCTGCTTTGTCATAATTTCTTCTTTTTTTTTTAATATATCTTCTGCTAAAAAAGACATTGCAGTGGTTGAAAACATGCAATTTAGAGCAATTGGGAATTTATTCACATAATGAATTGCAGCAAATTGAAAATTGGATTGCAATATTTACTAAAAAAAAAAAGGTTGGTTATTTTAGCCAGTTTTCAGTTTAATTGGGTGTTTAGTGAATAGACCCTGTGACCCAACGAGGTTGATGAGTGATTTCTAGTTTTTAGAGGGTAAACCATCACAATTTAAAGAGAGTTTAGTACATTAACAACTGCAGAACCTCCCTGTGTTTAATTTATAGTGTCTTTCTATTTCCTATCAAAAGAGAAAAGAACTCTCAGGCAACGAAAGTATTTATTACAACGGATCTATGCGGCCAGAAATTTTTGTGCTTCCTAGTAGAATCCCAGCACCAACTACGGTAAGCATTGGCCTGAGTAATCCTACTGATTTACTATATTACTCAGTAATTATATTTTTAGACGATATTATGTCTAAAGTAACTTTGTTCCCTTTTAGTTTTCCCAGCCCTCACATTCTGGTTTTTTATACTTCAAAACTATTCAGCTTCACACGGACACCATGACGAAATAAACAAGTTTATGTCCTTTAATTAAATTTTTAACTGAAATGTATGGAGTTCTCAATGAAGGACAACTTTAGTAAAATGTTTTAAAATATTTGATTGTATCTTGTCTTGCTCAATCACATTGTAATACTTAATAAATGTTAAATGTTAAATGCGGAAAAAAAGATGATGTATAAATCACTGGTGAGTTATGTGGAGTAAAATGGTAACATAGAAACATAGAATGTGACGGCAGATAAGAACCATTCGGCCCATCTAGTCTGCCCAATTTTCTAAATACTTTCATTAGTCCCTGGCCTTATCTTATAGTTAGGATAGCCTTATGCCTATCCCACGCATGCTTAAGCTCCTTTACTGTGTTAACCTCTACCACTTCAGCTGGAAGGCTATTCCATGCATCCACTACCCTCTCAGTAAAGTAATACTTCCTGATATTATTTTTAAATCTATGTCCCTCTAATTTAAGACTATGTCATCTTGTTGTGGTAGTTTTTCTTCTTTTAAATATAGTCTCCTCCTTTACTGTGTTGATTCCCTTTATGTATTTAAATGTTTCTATCATATCCCCCCTGTCTCGTCTTTCCTCCAAGCTATACATGTTAAGTTCCTTTAACCTTTCCTGGTAAGTTTTATCCCGCAATCCATGAACCAGTTTGGTAGCCCTTCTCTGAACCCTCTCTAAGGTATCAATATCCTTCTGAAGATACGGTCTCCAGTACTGTGTACAATACTCCAAGTGTGTGAGAAAAGAGCCCATTTACTATGAAAGTTAAAGGGACACTTCAGGCACCCAGACCACTTCTGCCCATTGGAGTGGTCTGGGTGCCAACTCCCACTACTCTTAACCCTGCAACTGTAATTATTGCAGTTTTTTAACAAACTGCAATAATTTCATTGCACTTTTAACTCCACTTCTAGTGGCTGTCTACTAGACAACCACTAGAGGGCACTTCCTTTCCGCATGTGCATCAGGTCTCCCCGGCCGGTGGGCGGGATTAGTCTCGCCCACCGGCCAACGCAATCCCAGGGAGGAGGGGCGGCGGAGGAAGAAGCAGCGACGTGGGACATCGTCGCTGCCTCTGGTAAGTTACTGAAGGGGTTTTCACTACTTCAGCACCCGGGTATTGGGAGGGAGAGGGGACCTGCAGTGCCAGGAAAACGGAGTTCCCCTTTAAGGTAAGGGGAAAGTTATTTATTTTTTTTTATTTTTTTTAAGACTGAGTCCATTTAGACCTTTTTATACAGAGAAATTGAACTGTGACTTTAGGCATCCTGATATGTTCAACAGTGATGGGTTTTCATTATGTTTGTTTGTTTTCTGTAAATCTCAGTGTTATTGACTTTGTTTATTTTTTAAGCATGGTCAAGTTTGAAGAAAGCAACGACAAGTCACAGTTGATCTTTGGTTCTCTCACTAGTATTTCTGCAAAGGATGCTGCTCCTGTACAGGTAACCGATGTAAAGAACAATAACACTTGTATCTTCCATGTGCATTTATAAAAGGAGATACAAAAAAACAAAACAATGTTTAAAAAAAAAAAAGCAAAACACTTAAATGCCAAAACAATGCAGATTTTCTTATTTAGGTTATTTAGATAGATGTTTTTTTGTTTTTTTTACTCCTTCTGTGTTTACTATTTTTTTTTTTTTTTTTTGTAGTATGTAAGCAAGTGTTTACCTGCAATATTTCTAAAAGCCACTTTCACTCTATTTAGAGCATTGACACAATGGTGGTGTTGGAGACCAATGGAAACCTGGTTCTGTACACTGGCGTTGTCCGGGTAAGGGGTTTTATTAGTTTATTTATTTTCAAGAATTTAATTAAATAATTTAAATTTCCTTAAAATGCAAGCTGGGCAGTCATTACATAAATAAATATTTTTTGTGTTGAAAAGTGGGCTAGAAGTGGCATACATTTGGGGAGCCTCATATTTTAGCTATACAATCGGTTTTATTCTGTTGCTTTTTCTACTGCTCATCCATACTGTATGCCTGTACCCCCAGCAAGCTCTCTTCGTCCGATCACGATTGTATGTTATGTAATGGGTGCATACTGTCTTATCTTTTCGCTGATATGTCAAACAAAAATAAAGAATTAAAAAAAAAAAAGAAGAAGAAGAAGTGGCATACATCATCTAATGTAAATAAAAAGTGCAATTTTTAGGTTAATTAAATGTTTGGCATAATTTTCTTTTAAAATGTTGTAAATTGATTGTGTCATTTATTCGAACTACCTTTTTTATCGATGTGAAAATAATTTTCAACAGTTTTAAGTGACTGGAAACGTATTTTGCAGTTCTGCGGGTTTAAAGTTATCAAAAAGTGATAGTTGCCTTAATAATTTTTTTTTTTCTTTCAATTAAACAGGTTGGGAAAATTTTCATTCAAGGACTTGCTGCTCCATCACTTGGCATGTCAAACCCGATGCCACGACCGAGCACGCCACTGGAGAGCATCAGCACACCAACCAAACCACTGAGCAAGCACCTGGCTCCAATGGATGAGATGGTATGTTTTAATATGTTTGCTTTTGTCCTCTGCAGTAAAATGCTTTTTAACTTTACGTTTATGAAAATCCAGTCTCAGCCCTTTTTCTATTTAATGTTTGAAAGACATGTATTACATGTACATCCAATGTCTGTAATATCTGCAGGCAGGTATATTGTCTCCCGTTCCTGAGCTGCGGGATTCCACAAGGCTCCATGAATCTACCTATTTAGATGACTGCACTTTCCATTCGATTGGCACTTACATTCATGCTGTTCGAGATCCTGTACACAACAGAGTGACACTGGTAAGAATGGATCCTGTTTGTGAAAGAAACTATTACCTTATTAAAAATGTATTTATTTTATTTATTTTTTCTCTTCCTCCTATCAGGAAATGAGCAACGGATCCATGGTTAGAATAAGTATTCCAGATATTGCAACCTCAGAACTGGGTGAGTAAAAAAAAACAAAAAAAAAACAGGCTGGTATTCCTGCTCCTTTGAAATGTATCTTTAAAGTCTGCTACATGTGTACTAAAATATTGTTTGCCTAAAATTATCCTCTTGGATCAACAATTTACAACTATGTGTGTATTTTGCTTGGAATCTCTTAAATGCACCTTATTAAATATTCAGTGCGGCTTTAAGGGGTTACTACAAGTACCATAACCACTTCAGTGATTTGATGTAGTCATAGTGCAGTATGAATGTGCCTGCAGTATGTATGTGCAATGTTTTGCTTAAGAAATGCACATACAGTAGAATAGGGGTTGAAATCTGTAACGCCAGTGTTGGCCGCATCATTGGGGCATGATTGGATAGCACAGCATGCTGACATCCAATAGCGAGGGGAAGTGACATAAGCGATGTGGATGTGACTGCAGGAAGATCTTATCCTTAGCACTGAAATGGACATACGTTTTTTTGCACTATTTATTTTGATATGGAGACGTGCAGATCAGCTCAGCAAGGGTTACTTTAACCAAAAATCTAACATTTTAACTACATTTTGCACAGCATGTCTTAACATGTGCAAGTTTACATACATACATGCCACACAAACTGTGCAACAACTTGACAAGGTCAAGCAGTAGTGTAAAACAAATTCTGAGGTTGGACTGGTTGCACTCATGGCCGTTCTTGCTGGAAGCAGTATACGTTTAAACAGAGACTCAGCTGTATGTAATATCTAACTGACTCACAGCTAGTATTGCCTGCAGTCTTGCATTGCATTGAAATATAAAACCCTCCCTATATAGTGTTTTAATATTTTTTTTTGTTTTGAGAGGCTCTAAAAAAAAACCCCCCACAAAACATCAAAGGAGTAGTTAACCATGTACCTAGTGCATTCACGTTCTATCTTTGTTGTTGAAATCGGGTCGAATGTCCTCATACTTTGTGTGGTAGCGTGGTAGCAAGATTAAAACATGTGTAGCCATGAACTCCTGGTATACATAATTAAAGGGATCATATAGTGACAGGAAAACAAACCCATTTTCCTGTCACTATAGGGTTATTAGTTCCCTCCCCCTTGCTGGCCTGGAGGGGTTTAAAACCCCTTCAGCCACTTACCTTAATCCAGCACGGGCTCCCTCTGCGCTGGTGACCTCTCCTTCCCCTTGCAGACGTACACTCCCGAGTTGAGCTGAATGCCGCGTGCATTTAAACCGCCCATAGGAAAGCATTACTCAATGCTTTCCTATGGACGTCCAACGTGAGTTCAATGTGATTTTTGACACTGAGAATCGAGGAAGCGGCCTCTAGTGGCTGTCAGGGAGACAGCCACTAGAGGCTGGATTCACCCTGCAATGTAAACATAGCAGTTTCTCAAAAACTGCTATGTTTTCAGCTGCAGATTTTAAACTAGGGGGCACTGGCACCCAGACCACACCATTGAGCTGAAGTGGTCGTGGTGCCTATAGTGGTCCTTTAAGCAAAGTATAAAGTGCAGCTTGTATGATTTTAGTTTTGGAATGGTTTATATAGATGGTTATTTGATACTCATATAATTATGTAACCTTATTTCTGTTTCTTATTCCATTCAACAGTTAAAAAGTGTCTTCAAGCCATTAAATACATCCTACCAAAAGAAATAGCTGTTCAAATGCTGATCAAGTGGTATAACTCCCACAATGCACCGGGGGGTCCTAGCAACCATTCTGAATGGAATCTGTTTGTTACTTGTCTTATGAATATGATGGGTTACAACACAGACAAGCTGCCGTGGACTCACAATGTAAGTCGATTCTCATGGTTATTTTTTGGCTTGGTTATCACAATATTATGGGAGTTTATTTTATTGTTCTGAGCACTATCATTTCAGAACTACCAATCTATTTAGAGGACATATAAGCGTTATATGTTTTGTCTGCCATTGCTTCAAATGTTAACCTTGCTTGTCCTTGTGGTACAGTCAAACTGGTCAAATGTATTTATTTATGGGGAGCATGATAATCAGTACAGCTCACAATATCTGTTATGGTTTCAGGAGTGGCGTGGTGCCCTCCCACAGTAATTAGTAAAACCATTTTAGCCTTGGCTTGACAACTACCTAGGATGCACCAGGTGCCTGCCACCACCTCCTCTGAGCCAGTTGCTCTCCACCAATGAGCTGATCTTGCATGAGAGGGCTTAGTTTGGTTGAGGTAACGGTAGCCTCTAGCTCTAGGCAAACTGGCACTGGCAGGCACCTTGCAGAACCCAAGTAAGTTGTCAAACTATTCTTAAACAGTTTGACTTCTTACTGTTGGAGGGTGCCAGGGTACTTTGGGCAGTGTAACTACTACAGGCCGCTGTAGTGTTAATGGTACAAGTTGGAGTATTTCTTTTGAGATTCATGTTATGTTCCAATATGTCCTGGGAAGCATGAACAGATTACTGTTTGAGTTTTTACCATTGATAAATGGAAAAGTACTATCATATACTTTGACCTTTGTGTATCAACTGGTTGTTTCACATTCAGAGCATCTTCTCCTCTGAAAAGAACTTGACCACGTTGCACAAATATTTAAGGAATAAACCATTTTACCTTACAGCCCCACCTCCTTTCTATCAATGTTAAGTCATCTTTAATAATTAAAAATTTTATTGTGTCAATTTACTAGTTTGTTTTGATGTGTGCCACAACTTTTAAATGAAAATGATCATTTGATGCCACCACTCACTATATATTCTAGCATTATATTACTCAAACTTAGACTTTCTTGAATAGGTTTTGCACACTGATACATCTATCGTTAGTGATATCAGGTCATAATAGTGGAGGCATGTAGTATAAGAGAGACAAATTCCAATCCGCATTACCCAGTAGAATTATTTTTGGCTTTCATTAAATGTGCTGTCTAGCTCCTATAACCACTGTCTGCCCATGCAATGGTTATGGTGTTATTAGGCTGCATACACCATCCTCTGGTTTTTGAGTCCATTTCACCTTGGCAATATTAATTCCATCCACATTTTAAACTTCTTCATTGACCAAGTGGATCAGTTGACACAATTTTCCAATGAATGGCTATACAATATGATTGAAATTGATATTGCTCATGCAGAAGTTAAACATTTGCATTGCCAGTAGATGAGCAGGGCGACCATGTGACTTGGGAACCCCCAGTTTTGGTCAAACATTTTAAACAAGAACTGTGGGTGCCCACAGCCTAATAGCATCATAATCACTACATCAGCATGTACTGGTTACAGTACCAAAACTGCCCCTTTTAAGGAGGATATTGTGTAGGGAACAATTTCACAACTTTTTTTTTTTTCATCCTAGCTTGACTTTGAAGGATCCCTATCACCGGTTATTGCTCCTAAGAAAGCTCGTCCTTCAGAAACTGGATCAGATGAGGTAAAACTCAGCCAGTCGGGTCGGTGTTATTGTACTGGAGTAAATCTTAGTTAATTAATTGACTACCATTCTCAAATACTTCATTTCACTACCTAATGAACCTTATTTTTGAAAGTGTGTCACCTGTTAATCTGACGTGTATCTATGACAGGGGTAGGCAACCTTCGGCACTCCAGATGTTGTGGACTACATCCCCCATAATGCTCTTACACCAATAATGCTGGCAAAGCATCATGGGAGGTGTAGTTTAAACCACCTGGAGTGCCGTATGTTGCCTATGCATGATCTATGAGAAAGCTATGTTATCAGTCTTGCCCTTGGAGCAGCCATCTCAGTTATTTGCCTGATTACTTCTGCATGTGTGTTTTTGTGTGCTCTTTCTTTTCTCTTCCTTCGGCAATATGTTGGATAAACTCCATAGTAAAATATGTTCTAGCTCAAGTTTGTCCAAAACAAAACTCCCCAGATGTTGTGGAACACGGTGCCCAAAAGGTAGATCCCACATGTTTTAAAACTACAGCTTCCATGATGCTTTAACATTCAAAAGGCATTGTAAGGGCATGCAAAGCAGCATAATCTGGGGATTTACCATTTGGGCAACCCCATTGTAGAACTTTATCTCCCTTGGTGCTTTGTCAGCTTTTAGAGAAACATCTGGGAATCTTCCTTTTGGTGACCCTTGTTCTAGTGATAAAACCACGGGCAGTTTTCCACTCCATTTTTGTATGGGTGAGTGGTAACTCTTGGTCTACTTCACGGACTATGTACTAAGCTGCAAAGTATGCTTGCACTTAATTTGCATGCTAATTTTCCTCTTCTCCAGATAAAACACACTAAGTTGAAAATAAATAACTAAAAAATAAAATAAAACACATTTGACTACAAGTGATTTATTTTGGTCTGTGTTTATTTTTTCACTTAGGACTGGGAATATCTTATTCATTCTGACTACCACCGCTGTGTTGAAAGTCACACTCTAGCACGGGCACTGCAGTTAGACCCGTTAGAAGTGCCAGCAGTGGAAGATGACCAGCATACCCTTAATCTGGACTCCACTGCACTCCTCTTCAGCCACATTCCTGCCATATTCTTTGTGCTTCATCTGGCCTACCAAGAGCTAAAACTTAATACTTTAATGAGAGAAGGAATTAGGTCACTGGTGACCCTACTTCTGCAGTTGGCTAGGTGAATAATCTTAAAGCGCTAAGTGAAACCATTTATTTTTTTAAATAATCCGCTGAGGGACTGTACAATTTTATCAACACACATCTCATTTTATGTTGGTGCAGAGATCCTGCTGTGTGAGTAATCTTCTCGGTTTGCTGAAAAACATTATTCAGATGCTCTAGTTAAGATCTTATTAGAGCTTGAGTAAAAATCATTGTCTTCTTCTTGTAAGGTTAATGACCAACGATTTGCTGGATACCATGAGCTATTTTGATATAACACTATTCTAAAACACTTTTTAAAGTATACCAGTGTAAAATATGCCACAGTACCACATTGTAGTTAATAAACGATAATTTATACAGATTATCACTAGTACATATTCTAATTGTCTCCCAACCTGTTTATTGCTGTGTTTGCTGGCTGTTTTCATAGACATAGGGGCTATTTGTTTGTCTCAATGCCGGTTAGGTTTAATGAAAGGCCCTTTATTTATGAGCGCATTTCAAATCCAAATGTTTTTTACACTATTTTAAAATTATTTTCCAGGGATTTAAATTTGAATGCTTACATGGATCTTTACTCCAGAGACTATCCAACTCTTGTGAAAACTACTGGGCAGATTTGTCGCATGGAGCCAAGTAAGTTTTTTTTTTTTTTTTTGTTAATGTTTAAATATAATTTATCATTTATTTCAATTCTGTTCTTAAAAAAAAAAAAAAAATTTCTGTGTATATATAGAGGATATGGATTATTTAAGTGTATGCAAAAGTGGGGTAATAACAGTCTAATTTCTATGCTAGATAAATGGCAATAACACCCACTTGTTACAGAGCTTAAAAAGTGTTTATGTGGACTTATCGGCAGATCATGTAGAAGGACCAGTTAATCTTCAGATATTGACAGTAAATAGATAACAAAAAATAACCTTTCGATCACTTCCTTCACACTCATCATGCCTTGGAATGAATGGAAGGAGTAGATTAGCAAAGTTCCTATCGGTAGAAGTGATGGGATGCACACACAGCTGCTTTTCCACTGTGCTGATGTTTATATTTAGTATTTATTTACTATCCTACTTGTACTTCTTTTTAAAAGCATGACATTTAAACTTGAAATGAAGAAAATTTACTGTGATCCTCATTTGGTTACGCATAGGACACCCATTTGCACCTTTCTGCTTGACATTTGTTTTTTATGACTTGTTAAACACATTTCATAACAATAAGAAAACAAAATGGTTATGTATCCTGGCAACTTCTTAATACTTAAAGGTGCAGTCCAGGCAGCTAATGTGCAAAAAAAAAAAATATATATATTTTTTTAAATCATAATGTAATTTACATGCATTTTAGTCAACCCTACAGCCTCACTCTTTCAAATGTAAGAGGAATGTGCGATAGTAAAGTTAGCTAGTACATTTCACCAAATCCACTGTGCAGCGCAACAGCGGAAGTTAAATTAGTACACACAAACCCTATACAGGTTGGCTTTAAATTGTACTATCCAGTATAGCTGCACTTTGCATTTTATTACAAACGTGCTAGGCTATATCTCTTGTACTATATAACAATTTTTTACCTACTCTGCTTTACAGCCCAAGTTGGTTTTATGAATTATCCTTCATTTTTTGAGGATGATCGTCCACCAAGTATCTACCATTGGGTCAGCACTTGTCTGCAAGGCAAAAAGGCCCCACCTTATCCATACTTGCCTGGCATCTGCGAGAGAAGCAAGCTCGTAGTTCTGGTAAATTTCTCCCCTGTAACGTATTGTGCAGTGTCAACTTAAAAGAGAACCATGACAATGATGTTGGTTTACTTGTACAACCATTTGTGTGCAGGTGCAATTTTCATTGGGGACAAAAACACTTTACTGGCTGTCACTCAGACTACCAAAGTGTTTTTCCTCTGCTTTTGTTACCACCACAGAGCTAACTCTGGACTAGCGGGTGCCTGCTTTCTCCTATCACAGTGATCTGTATTACAGCTCATTGAGAAGCATAGGAAAGTCTTCTATACTGAAAGTCTGTGCGTGGGAAAGAGGGAAGAACATACAAAGGCTGCAGACAGCAAGTCTGTAGCTTTTGCAAGCTGTTTTTTCATATATCCCCCAAAGAAAACATGCAGGTGAAAATGTATGAATGTTTTTGGAAAGGACATGTCTACCGATTTGTTACATATTCAATGGAGTATGTCTTTAACTGTGTAGTTTTCTGCTAGGTTACAGTTTTTTTTTTTTTTTTTTAAGGAGTACTAAACCTTTTAAATGCATAATCCCTCATTTTTGCCATCAGTATTATAAGATCATATGTATTTACTCTTTGGGTACATTAGATCCTGAAATTGTACTTCGAGTAAAATGATCCCTGGTGACTATACTGAATAATTCATTTCCTTAGATGCCTTTTCAGGGTTGCATGCCCTGGTTGTCATGGTTCATGAACCATTACCTTTGGAAGGCTGTTCTTTCTGATCTATATGTAAGCAGTCGATTGTGCTATTGTCTTTTTCTTTTCTTTTTTTTTTTTTTCTTCTTCTTTCAGTGGATGTTGAAGGTGTGAAATATTTATGCATGGTCTTACAGGGGCTCTCTAAGCTCCCTATACAACTTTAATGGTTATGGTGACAGCATGCTCCTGGTTCCATATCCCAGTTATGTATCAAACAGTTTATTTAGCTGTTTAACGCAAACCAAGACCAGGACCCTTACTCAGCATATTACGATTTCAGAAGTTACTCTTTGCATTAGTAATGCCAGTTTCTGTCAGATTTGAATGCCATTGGTGTTCTAGGTGTGTCAGCTGATGCTCTCAGCCAATCAGTGCCCTCCAAATCTGGACACAATTGATATTGCTATTAGTAACATGCCAACTGAGGGACTGTGGCACAGGCACCTGGACAACCTGCAATTTGTGTGAAACCACTAAAACAATTTGACACAGAATCTGAGGAATGGCACCAAGAGCATTCCTGCATTGTAACCACTACAGTAATGGTTATGATACTTCGAATGGCCGTATAAATATCACTGTTCTGCATCTGATCAATATAAATGTGGCAGAACATAAATCACTTGATGGATTATAAATCTTGACCCATTTTGTCCCCATATAATACTATGTTTGCTATTAGGCTAATTTATAGACGTACCTATAACACTATACTTTTATGTGTATATATTCTATTCAGAGTGTCGCTTTATATATACTTGGAGATGAGAGCTCGGTGACACGGGAACCATCCAAGTACCTGTCTAAAATTACAGCAGGTAAATACTATAGAGATCTTAGATATAGCAAATGACCAACCTACTGTACAAACATTGCAATTCTGTTAACATATGTGGGGACTTGTTTACCTTTCCAGGACAAAGAAAGCAGCAACAGGAAGATGAAAGGAGGTATGGAATTAATTATTACTTAGCCTTTGTTGCTCTAGGACCATTCAAGAATAAGAACTAATAATAATTAGCAAGTGCTTATTTTCACTTTGAAGGAGATTCATTCTTCATAATGTTATTTTACCTCATTGTATATTATTGATTAGCTTCTATCTTAACCTCTTCACTACCGAGCACTTTTTGATTGAGAAAATATTAGTACAACATTTATTTGAAACAAGAGATGCATAGCTAGCAAATATATCACAACAGGGCAATTTTTTTATAGATTGCTTTGCAGACAAACTTAAAAATGTAAGTTTTATTTTTTACTTATTTGTTTCTTTTTTTTTTTTTAAATGTATTTATTTTTAATTCATTTTTTAATTAAAAATATATTTGGGAAACAATAAAGCTTTAGACTGTAAACAATGTCCTTTATCTTGCAATATTTCACGCAGGTTCTGAAATGTTAGTATAAAAGCAAAAGTGCAATTTTTCTCACAAACATTAACTGTGACAAAAATGTATACATAAATATGGTACAATACTTTGCTTATAGGTATTTGAAGGAAGGCATTACTAGCAGTACAGCTTACTAAAAATTGCAACAGAATGTAAAACTGTCTGCAAATGAGCACAATGCCCACATACAGTGAATACAGTTAAAACCTATATTTCTAAAATAAGCGTATTTAAAACTGCTTTCAATTTTAATTAATTTGTAGAGTTCATTCACACAACCCTTCCTGACTCTAGGATTAATATGACCCATTGAAACTTCCTATACTGTTTGAAACTATATTTTCTGGTCTCTGCATTTTAAAAGCACCGGGCCACCATGTTACATTGTTTCCCATAATGTCATTTTACTCCTGTAGCTTGTCTCAAATGCCTCAAAATTGTATTTCTGCACATAGCACGTGCTTTTTTTCTAAATCTAGAGTGAGAGTTGCATGTCTTCCACTTCCTGTATTAACATACAGGACATTGGTTACACTTGCTTAGAATATTGACCTGACAGGGTTGTGAATGAGCATTTGTATGATTCTAAATTGGAAGACAGACTTTTGTTGTCCTCCCCTTGGAAAAACGCTTTTAGATAGAAGAAAGCTCTTTTTTTCAGCCCAACTAAAGCCACTGCAGTTGTTTTTTCCATACAAATAATATATAAATATTATAATGCTGAAAGAGTGATTCACTGTTACCTAAACTGGGATTTGATAATTATTTTGACAGGTACAGTCTGAAACCCTGCCCCACTGTTTCCAGCCTATCTGAAAAGCTTGTGGTCTGGATGACCAATATAGGTGAGCAGCACATTTGACTTAAATGTTGCAGATCCTTTTTTGAGTTTTCACACAATTTCTACTTAGTTTAATTCCCTTCATCTGCACTCATACAGGTGGAATTAGAGGGATTGTGTGCTAAAAATAAGTGTTACAATGTTTTTCATAACAGGACTATTTCCATGTCAGATGATTGCAAGAAAATAGGGTCTTATCTTGAAAATTTAAGGTGTCTTTAAAAAAATAAAATAAAAAGTTCTATTTAAAGGCACACTGCATTTCTCTAAAGCACATTAGGTTGCTGCAGTATTTTGGGTTTAATTGCATGTCCCTGGAGTTTTTTTTTTTTTTTATAAAAAAATGCTGATTTCAAGAGAAATATACACTTTTTCTTTTAAATGACCTTGGTAACACTGCCTGACTGTCAGCAAGACAGCTGGAATGATTCCCTGCTTCACTTTCTATGGACTGTCATGCTGAATCGTTGTACTATCAATTGCCAAGCTTGCTCCCTATGTCCTCAATATTTCTCTTTGAGAAGCATTTGATTGCAGAGAGACCATCAGTAGATGGTCTCACCATAGGTAGTTTGGACTGGAGAACAGACATGGTTTTGACACTGGGCACACTAAATCTAAAATAAAATAGGAACACTTCAATGTTAAAAATAAATATATGTATTTTTAATGTTGCAGTGTTCCTTTAAGACCTTTTTGGTTACGCATTTAGCTGAGGAAATCATTACCAAATGGGAATTTGAAAATAGTTTTTTACCTGAAGTTAAAAAAATTAGCAGGTTTTGATGAATCTACTTTTAATAGGAGTATGTTCTCAGAAAATACAATATTTTAGATTTAGTTTTGGATGGGTAGGTTGGGATGTGCACTCAAAATAACCTGTTATAAAAGTTGATCTAAAATATGCACAGTCTATTTTACAGTGTTTCTCCTATATCTGTTATTTTAAATCTAAGGTTTTACACTACGGGATCTGGAATCTCTGCCTTTTGGTGTTGCTCTACCCATAAGACATGCAGTTTATCAATGTCGACAGCAGCCTGCTTCTGATTGGCCAGAAGCAGTCTGCCTTCTCATAGGACGCCAAGACCTTTCTAAACAAGCTTGTGATGGAAACTTGCCAAAGACCAAGTCAGTGGTAAGGTGTTCAGAGTCTAATGCTTAAAAAAACCAAATCAGGATTGTAGCATATAGATTTAATTCCTAAACTCCACCCATGGTCCCTATGGCTTATGGCAGGAGGCAGAGGTATTAAAGAATAACTACAGTCAGCTGGTACATTTACATGCATTCATCAATTCTGAAGAAACCTTTATTGATGGATGGAAGAGAAGAATGTAACCAGAGTTTTACTAAGGCATAAAGGGCTGCTAAGGCTATCTTGAGTAATAACTTAATTTCATTTTCCTGCACGGTTAAACTGTCAGTAGACGTGGAAAGTAAATTATGTCAATGGGTTGAATGGCACATGTTTACCCAGTACATCTTTTAGCAGTTTATTATTTTTTACTTTGACTTTTGTAAACGTTACCTGTAATGTTTTATATTTGCCTCATATTTGCCTTATTCATCATCTCAGCTTTAATGCCAGTGATTACATCTGAAGCTCATAGTTTCCTTTTTTTTTTTTTCTGTATAATTTTTGCTGAACATGTAGATATACATCAATTTACAGGTGTACCACAAGTTATTTTGCTGCACGTACATTTAGGTCTGTAGCTATTTGGACACTGATTAAATTTTCTTAATTTTGGCTCTGTACGCCACAACAATGGATTTGAATTGAAACAACCACGATGCAATTAAAGTGCAAACTTTATGCTTTCAAGGGGTTGAACAAAAATAAGGAATAGCAATCATTTTTCATACACAGTCCCCTTATTGCAGGGGCTCAAATGGAATTTGACAAATTTAACACACTCATAAAGAAAATGTAAATCTTTAACACTTTAAGATTCCTTTTTAGGTAATGACTGCTTGAATTCTGAAACACATGGACAATCAAAATTGATGATTTGCCTTTACTGTTTGTAGCGTTTCTTCAATTGTTTATTCTTTCTGCCTTGAGTTCTGCCTTCAGCTAAACCTGGGTCAATCAGGTTGAGATCAGTCGATTGACTCAGCCATTGCAGAATACGCCACTTCTTTGCTTTAAACTCCTGGGTTGCTTTTGTAGTACGTTTTGGATCATTATCCCTCTGTAAAGTGAAAAGTTGCCCAATCAACTTCACTGAATTTGGCTGAGTACGAGCAGCCAAAAAAAGGACATAGACTTAGAATTCATCCGGCTGCTTCTGTCACATCATCAATAAATACTAGTGACCCAGTGTCATTGGAAGCCATGCATGCCAATGCCATCACACTTTTTCTTTACCATGGAAAGGGTCCTCTGATCATCCACCACTGTTGTCTTCTGTGGACGTCCAAGCCTTTTTGTATTGCATAGCTCACCGATGCCTTTTTTATTTTCTTTCTCAGAATGCACCAAACTGTTTATTTGGCCACTGGTTATGTTCCTGCTATCTCTCTGATGGATTTTTATAAATTTTTTTACATTTATTTTGCAGTCTAAGGATGGCCTGTTTAATTTGCATTGAATTCTCATTTGACCACATGTTGTGGATTCACAGCAAAAGCTTCCAAATGTGAATGCCACACCTGGAATCAATCCAGACCTTTTAATTGATGAAGAAATAACAAAGGAATAGCCCACACCTGTCTGAAACAGTTTTTGAGTCAGTTGTCCAATTACTTTCGGTCCCTTGAAAAAGAGGGAGCTACATATTTGGATGTGAATACCCTCAAACTAAAAGTGAGATAATGCATTTTAAACCCTTATTCATTATTTAACGGTAAGTTTAATTTATTTTGGTAAACCGCTAAATGAACAAAATATCAGTGTCCACATATTTCCAGACCTAACTGTATGTGATTTTACTGTAATGATTCTCAAGCAACCTTTAGCCCATTTATGCAATTGAGTTGCGTACCTTTCCATTCAGATATAAAAATGATCTCACTCATAAAGCCAGTCCGTCAAGGATCTTACATACAAGCCTTTTGTGTACAAGTGATCAAATTGTCTCAAACAAACATTTTAGTTAATCAGTTAAGTACAGCTCATATGCCTCTTCACAGCGAGTGAGGAGCTTCTGGACATTACACTAAGCAGCCAGTAGTTAAAATGTTTTAAATTGCTCTTCCTCTTTCTGCCTGCAGTTTTCATAATTCACATTTTCCGACACAAATGGCTTCCTAATGAAATGCAACAGTTATGTATTTTACATATGTAATCTAATCTTATTGATCTATTAAGTTCAGGCATTACTGGCCTTTTATAAAGATACAATAAGGCAAATAAGGCAAATAGAGTATAACAATCAGGAACACTGGACATCATCAGGATAGCTCTCCTTGTTATAGTGGCTTTGTCTGTGGAGCACCCGTAAATGTATTTTAGATCTATTGGCATTTCATGTATTACCATGATTCTCATTGACTATTAGTAGAATGCAGTGATACGCTCCACTAATATATTTTGTTTCTATCACTTATTGTAATTTAGTCTACTGCCAAGGTTCCCTCCCCAGAGGTACCTCCTGCAGGAGAAGCAGAGGAAGAGGATGATGGTATGAGCGATTTGAATCAGGCAGTGATGTCGTTGATATGGAGTGAAGACATGCGTGTGCAGGAAGTGCGTAGACTTCTTCAGAGTTCCCACCCTGTGCGTGTAAATGTTGTGCAGATGCCTGAAGTTAGCGACCATGAGTACATTGAGGAGAAGGAGAACAGGTAACTTTTTATATTTTGTGATGATTTTCAGTTTTTTTGAGCAGAAAGGATATAGTGAAAAAGGGATGCCGTTTACGGATGAGGCATATAATAGTATCTCATTACAAATGAAGAACTTTTGCAAGCTCTAGATTTTGTACAAGAAATGGGCATTATAAATCTATTTATCTTGATTCTATTAACAGCAGTTTGATTTTAGTTTTCTTGCTTTCTGGGTAGAGGACTTTTATCATCTGTGTCCTCATTGTAAGCTGAGGCAAAAATAGGTAAAACAATAAATTAAATCAAAAGTAATATTCACAATATATTCTGTTTTTCAGTTCAGATCTAATTCACAAACATTTGATGTTGTGAATAATCCTGGTTTTATTGGAATTTGGTAAAGACAATAACAAAATTTTGAAAGACAACAAACAAATGACATAATAATTAACAAACACACAGAGGCCTAAACCAATTGGATGGGGAGGGGGAGTGTCTAATTAGAACAACCATTGATCAGGGATAACATCAGCGCTGCGGAATACGTTGGCGCTTTTATAACTTGGTCTATAGCTGCAACATAGTCCATAATGTCTTGTTCAGACTCTTGCAGCTTTGTCAGAGGACCATGGCTCTGCCTGTGGGGCGTGGAATGTTCACCTTGTTTTCCTACCACCCTGTACCAACAGAACCTCTTCCAATTCCAAAACTGAATCTTACAGGTGAGTTTTAATATGCTGGCTATACATACTGTGAAGTAGAATAAAAAAAGATACATGCAAAAGTTTGGGCACCCCTTACAAATAAAATATTTAATGGGGGTGGGGTATGGTAGAAGCCTGGTGGAATCCTGTCCTTTTTTCATTTTGTGTCATTGAGGACTTGATTATATTGGGGCCACAAAAATAGGGTTGAGAGATTCACAAAACTTTAAAGGGATGCTTGTCTGACCTTGCTGCTATTTCTGTAGTTCCCTGGGTTGTGAGGCTTTTCAGGTATCGTCAGCCTAATTCTCCTAACCCCAAACAATATCCACCCCATTCCAAAAGATGAATACCTGTGGGCTAACCAATTTCTTTAATTCCTAACAAATTACAGCCCCTTCCAAAAGATGACTTACTGGGGGGATTGGCACATTGTTTAACCCATATAAAGTACAGTATTTGTGTAGTATCCATTTGTGGGTTATGATGCCACTATTCCTGTGCTGCCTTTACCCAATCCTGTTTCAAAATGTTTTTGAGCGTTTTGACACAAACTAAGGTCCCCTAGGCATTTACAGCACAGACTGGCTTGGCATATTCCTATTGTGAAAGTTACACTTCACGTTGGCAATATTCATTCTGTCCATGTTTGGATAGTTCATGGACTGACCATGTCAGCTGCAGCACATAGGAGTTCCTACTTGGTGTCTAACTGTTCTCACAGAATCAGCTCACAACACCAAGGGCAATGCAGGCACCATAACGACTTTAGAGAGCCATTTAAAACAGAATTGAGATTATAATGCAAAATAAAGTAGGTATATTAGTAACTACCTTGTCTTATGGAAATATTTTTTTTTGTCAAAATGAGGCATTGAAAGTTTCCACTGGCACCTGTGTGATAATGCTTTGATACTTTAGTAGTTTAGTGCTTGCTTGTGTATGTTCTGTAGAAGCTTAAGAGACAGATTATAATTTGGTTTACATCACTAGGTCGAGCTCCACCAAGAAACACAACTGTAGATCTCAACAGCGGAAACATTGACGTGCCCCCAAATATGGCTTGCTGGGCCAGCTTTCACAATGGAGTGGCTGCAGGCCTGAAAATAGCTCCCGCCTCCCAGATAGATTCTGCCTGGATTGTTTACAACAAGCCAAAAAATGCTGAGCTGGCTAATGAGTATGCTGGCTTCCTCATGGCCCTGGGCTTAAATGGGCACCTCACCAAGTTGGCAACTTTGAACATACACGACTATCTGACAAAGGTGAGGCTTTATTTACCTTATGAACGAACAAGATAACTAAGAAAATACTGCATACAAAATAACCAATAACACTGATCTAAAATACAAAAATAAACTCTTTAAAAAAATAAAAATAAATATATATATATATATATATATATATATATATATATATATATATATATCAAGAGATTTTTAGAGGTGACTAATGCATATACAAAAATAACAAGAAGGGGTAACGATAATCAGAGCAATACCATAAAATAATATATGAAAACCACAATTTATTAATACCATAAATAAACCACCAATTAATAAAAATAAATATGTATATGACAATACTGATCCTAAAATGAGCACTTCTAATGAAGAGACCACTTAATAAAGGCTGCACACCTTGAAGGGAGGAACCTAGCAATGAACAACAAGTGAACAAATCAATAACACTGACCTACAGTGTGCAGAACTGTAAAAACCAGTCGGTGGCACTGTTTTAACAGAGGATTTTAAGTAGCACTGTACAGAAACTTGTGGCACACATTTGCCACAAAGACACAATACACAAAACACACAGGTTATTTGCTCATCAAAAGGCGAAACTATGACCGATCACGTGAGACAGTCTAAGCCACATCTTCCATCGTTCTAGCATTTATAATACATTGGTAGCTGATGCATATCACGTGAGATTGTAACTTTTAGCTATCAGTGATTTATAGGAGGGCTTACAAGGTGGAAGTATTTTTAACCTTTGATATATATGCACTCTACACAAATTTATTCATACTAATGCTTTATGACAAATAAACCCTTTTTATCTGGCACTAGATTAAATTATGCATTTGAACCATTAAGGGGTTCCACACACTCTTTGTAAAAATGAGCATACACCTGTTCAAATGTGACATCTCTTTACTAAGGCAGGGTTTGATTAACATTCCAACCAGGAGATCAAATCTGAAACTTAAAGCCTGTGAAATGCAACCTTTTTTCTCACAGGCTTTTTTGCTGTACATTTATTAGTTGCATGTTCTAATAGCACTCACAACTATTGTTGAACCTACATAAATCTGTTAGACGTTGAAGATTATGTCACGTGATGACTTACAATATAATTGACAACGCTAGCGACGTATTCCTAGAAAGTCTTCCACCTTATCTTCTAATACAACTTACAGAGATCTTAAATAAAAAACACACAACTCCCAGGTATTTTTAATGAACAAGTTATTAATGCAGGTCAGCATTTGCATAAGCTTGGGGAAAAAAAAATCTAAATCAGCCAATATTGAAGCATTTTTGCCTGTATATATATATTTTTTTTAATGTCCTCCCTCTATAATGTGTCTTGATAGGGCCACGAGATGACCAGCATTGGGCTCCTGCTTGGTGTTTCAGCTGCCAAGCTTGGTACGATGGATATTTCAATTACACGACTTCTCAGCATCCACATCCCTGCCCTGTTACCTCCAACTTCCACGGAGCTCGATGTGCCACATAATGTGCAGGTGGCTGCTGTGATTGGAATTGGCTTGGTTTACCAGGGAACTGCCCATAGACACATAGCTGAGATTCTACTTGCAGAAATAGGTAAGGATTAGAAATATCAACTTCTCAGTTATTTTTTTTTTTTTTGATTGTGTGTGCTTTTTAGTCCTGTGTAGCAATGTTGCTCAACATTTTCTGGCATTTGTGTTACATAGTTACATAGTTACATAGCTGAAAAGAGACTTGCGTCCATCAAGTTCAGCCTTCCTCACATTTGTTTTTTGCTGTTGATCCAAAAGAAGGCAAAAAAACCCAGTTTGAAGCACAATTTTGCAACAAGCTAGGAAAAAAATTCCTTCTTGACCCCAGAATGGCAGTCAGATTTATCCTTGGATCAAGCAGTTATTACCCTACATTGAAAGATTATATCCTTGAATATTCTGTTCTTGCAAGTATGCATCTAGTAGCCGTTTGAACATCTGTATGGACTCTGATAAAACCACTTCCTCAGGCAGAGAATTCCACATCCTGATTGTTCTTACAGTAAAAAACCTTTCCTTTGCCTTAGGCGAAATCTTCTTTCTTCCAGTCTAAACGCATGGCCTCGTGTCCTATGTAAAGTCCGGTTTGTGAATAGATTTCCACACAATGGTTTGTATTGGCCCCGAATATATTTGTATAATGTTATCATATCCCCTCTCAGGCGACGTTTTTCTAACTGGTTAGAACAGTGGTAGGTAACATCACTTAGAACTGGGATCCCAAGTCCTGCTCAGACCACCTCACCAGTTCTCCTTGGGTAATGCATCTAATGCTATATATCTGGCTAGCTCAAATCCTCCTAGATTGTAAACTTCTGCGAGCAGGGCCTTCACCTCTTAATGATATTTTATTGATTGCGGGCTATCTTGCCTTCTACAAATGCTAATAATAATGTGGCCATTGTCCTTGCAGCTGACTGCTGACTAATTCTTTGATATCTCTTGGGTGGATCGCTACATGACTAAATTAGAAATAGTGACTTGATTTAAGAATAATCAGTGTTTATTATTTCCTGTTTTCTGGATAGTTTAAATCTTTAGTAATATAATATAGAGATTGCCCTTTGGTTAGTGATCTTGTTTGCTACTGAAGTTAATGCTTGTTTATCATTATCCTTGGCTCTACTTAATACATAAATAATCACACCCTTGGTATGATTCAGTGTGTCTGGTACCTGTATGATTTGTTGTAATTTGTCAAAGGGACACTATAACAATTTAATTTAATTGAACGTGATGTAGTTCCTTCAGTCTTCTGGTGACTTCCCCCCAAACTATTTTTAAACGATTTTAAACTATTTACCTCTAAATAAAGTTCCCTGGCCACTCACAGCCAGGTCCCTAATGCAGGTATGGCTAAGGCAGTGGTGACACACTTCCTTGTAGCCATGCCACTTCACACCAGCAATAGACTGAAAGTGATCAGCTGATACTTTCAGCAAATCACAGCCGTCCTTTGCTGTTCAGACGAATGGTTCCTCATTAGTTCAAGCAGCAACGAGAGGGGGTAGGCTCCTGGGGACTTTTGTTTAGTTTTAAAATGTTTTTAAGCTGAATAGAAGGATGGTGCCAGGGGGACTCTGAATACTATAGCCACTTTAATGAGATGAAGCTGTTACAATGCCTGCAGTGTTTCTTTTATTATTATTATTATTATTATTATTATTGCCATTTTCATAGCAACAACATATTCCGTAGCGCTTTACACTTTTAAGGTCCAGTTGTTCAATAAAAAGCCTTACTGTGAACCTGCCTACTCTCTTTTGGGTTTGTTTACATCAGGGGTCCTCAAACTACGGCCCAAGAAACCGTCCCAAGCACTTAGGGCCACCCGATGGGCCCTATTTCTTCAGGGGCCCAGTCAGTGCTGTAGCAATAGCGCGTCCGGGCCCCTTTAAAAAATTTGCAGCTGCAAAGTAGTGCTGGGAGGAAATGGCGTCACTTCCTCCCAGCTCCCTCCGCGCGGGAGGGAAGAAACACAAGCCGCGAGGACAGAAGAGCCACGCCGACTCCCATCATCCACAGCTATTCTCCTGCAAAAAAAGTAAGAAATTTTAGCTGTATGTATGTATGCATGCATGCATGTCTGTCTGTGTGTGTTTGTATGTATGTCTGTCTCTGTGTATGTGTATGTATTTATTTCAGTATGTCAGTATGTATGTCTGTGTGTTTGTGTATGAGTATCTATCTGTGTGTATTTGTCAGTATGTGTCTATCTGTATGCATGTATGTCAGTATGTCTTTGTATGTGTGTATGTATGTCAGTATGTGTTTGTATGCGTGTATGTATGTATGCATTTCAGTATGTATGTCTGTGTGTGTATGTCAGTATGTATGTCTGTATTTATGCATGTCAGTATATGAATGTATGTGTTTGTATGTATGTCTGTGTATGTATGTCAGTATGTGTCTCTGTATGTCTGTGCATATGTATGTGTGTATATGTCAGTGTTTGTATGTATGTATTTCAGTATGTCAGTATATGTGTGTGTGTGTGTGTGTGTGTATGTATTTATGTCAGTATGTATCTGTCTGTGTCTGTCTATCAGTATGTATGGCTGTGTGTATGTATGTCAGTATGTGTTTGTATGTATGTCCGTATTTCAGTATGTGTTTGTATGTCAGTGTGTGTGTCAGTATGTATATGTCTCTGTCAGTATGTATGTCCTTATGCGTGTTTGTGTCTGTAAGTATGTTAGTATGTGTCTGTATATGTCTGTTTCACTATATATAGGAATAAAAAAAAAAAAAAAGTAAAACTATAGTCTGCCCCCCAGCAGTGTCTGAGGGACAGTGAACGTGGCCCCCTGTTTAAAAAGTTTGAGGGGGGGGCGGGGCCTGACCATCATGGCGGGGAGACGTGTTTTACACGAGCTCCTGCTAAATCCTGACAAAATAAGCGAAAATCGGCTCACCCAGTCGCAACACACGGCATTGCTAGACACCCATCAGGATCCTGTGCAACCCGATTGGGGCCAGCTGAAGACTCAACCGACATTGCGACCTGGTGCTCAACGGGCGGGGGAGGCAGCCGCTCCCCAGTCCTGGAGGCACCCTGAAGCTGCTCACAGTACAAGCCAGCCCTGCTACCCCCCCCTTGGACCGGCGGGGGTGATCCCGGTCCACCCTAGGGGGGCAACCCCAAGCATGAGAAGAGATGGGATACCGCCAAAGACAGCACACGGAGGCCTGTCTAAGATGGCGGACACAACACGTGCCGACCACCCCAGCGACTCCCCACAAGACATCCTCACACGAATCAACTACCACTTTGAGACCTTCTGGAGAAAGCTAGGGGGTATACTGAATCAAAGCGCTCCGCCACTACCACAAAGCAAGCAACGCTCACCTACTCCCATCACACGAACCGGCAGCCGCACAGCGCTCCCTCTCACTCGAGCAGGGCGCCAACGCAAACATGCCCTCCTGTCCTGCCGATACTACACTGCACGAAGGTCCAGCAGGGACCGACTCCGCGCTCCCAGACCGCACTATCAAAAGAATCACAAATCGCAGCGACACCTACAGCCGCGGTTGGGACCCGGTGGGGAGTGGAGGTGCGAAGGACTGCGTAGATCGGGGCACACAGACAAGGAAAAGAACGCACTGACAAGACTCACCTCGCCCAAGAACAGAGCGACGCAAGTCCGAAGGTGGAGAAGGCTGGGCGCTGGGCCCAAAATGACGGCAACACCTGGTCAGTCATCTACCGACCCGCGACCACGACACGGGCTGCCTCCCGAGCACACGAAGAGACCAAGACCAGGATCCACAAAGGCACCCGAATGGGACTGTGGTATGCCTCCTGCGGGAGTGGGCTGACTGGGACTCTAGAAGCCATAGATGAGTCACCCACCTTGCCTCACATAGACTCTGACTGTAATATAGCACATTTAATGTTTCTGTATGCATTTGGTGTTACTATTATACCCCTATGCTCGTGAGTTATGCTTAACGTTTATCTGTTTTGACCATTTCTCAATTCAGTTCTCCTAGCTAATGATAAAGGCACACCTTATTAAAGAATCCAGGATCGGGGCCCTCCCTCCTGGCGGTAAATTCCCAACCCCTTAGCTATGCCCACTGACTGCCTGCTGCAAAAGCCTCGCTGTGGCACTACAAGAGCTGCGCTGGCACCTCAGGAAATAGCAAACCTTACTCCATCTTAGTTCTTTCCCCATAGTGTGGCAGCATGCTATTCCTATTCATGTCAAATCGAAAATTGCCAGATCAGCAAACCTGCTAGCGCTATTGATACTCTCATTAGGTTCATAACCTGTGAATCTTAGAAATTTACTAATATTGTTGAAATCTCATTGTCATTTGTGATGAAGATGGTTAGCGTACTTAGTTTACTCATAGCAAAGCAACCTCCTTACAAAAAACGATTGACTCAAAGCATGGTTTCACACTATAATATAAAAAATGTGCTGTTTTACATGCTACGATATGTACTGTTTTGTTACCGCTTGCAACTGCCGTCGTTCTTTGCAGGCCTGTTTGTTACTTCATGCACACGAAAAATAAAGAATTATAAAAAAAAAAAAAAAAAGTTTGAGGACCCCTGGTTTACATGTTCTTTTGTACCTCTTCAGCATTACTACATGTTTTGGCTAATGTAATTTGTATGTTGCTATTTGTGTTTGTATACTGTTAAAATACATAATGAAAGCAATCCCATCATTCCTGGTGGCATTGACTTATCACTAAACTCGTGATATATTTCTGACTGCTTGTGTTTTCTTTCTGCACTTTGAAAATAATCAAGGCTGCAATACATTGGAAAGTTTTAATGAAATTTATCAACATTTAAAATATTTTTAACTGGTGTTTTCAATTAATTTGCAGGCCGTCCCCCGGGACCTGAAATGGAATACTGCACAGATAGAGAGTCCTATTCGCTAGCGGCCGGACTGGCTTTGGGAATGGTGTGCCTAGGGGTAAGCTCTGAGTTATTTGCTAAATCAATTATGCATTATGGGTGACCCATTGTAGGAGCAACATTATATATGAAAAAGGCTGTAATCTTACCGAAAATCTTGCTTTGAAATGTTTATCTAATTGCAAGGCATTCACTTGTGATAAAAGTGAAATATTCTTTTTAACTTTTGTGATGTTTGTTCAGTTTTCCAGAATGCATAGTGTCTGCATTCTATAAGGAAATTGTGGTTATAAAACTGTTGATTATTATCGATAAGCTACCTTCTGTTTGCTCATCTTTGATGAGAGACATAAGTTCACAGGTTGTAAACAGTCCGGAAGGTTTAAAATATGTGTAATCGTCTGCAGTCATAAAAAAATTGACGTTTAGCAAACATTATTTTTTTTCTTGGTATTATAGCGTTTCTGTGCCAAAGGAATATACTGCAGTTGTTGTGTAACATGGAATGAATGGAAGGGAGGTGCAAATGTAAATGTAGGTTATTGCTCATAAAAAAAGAAAATGTAAAAGCCTGAGCAGTGGTGACAAATCTTGACTCTGCTGATGTTTATGGGGTGTTAGAACAATGTCTAACCACCTTGACCACTTTTGCTTGTGGAAGTGGTCATGGTGGTAGGAATGTGCAGCATTTCAACTTGAAACATTTCACATACATTGCACTGACATAGTCTATAAAACCAATTTAGGATTGCTGTTCTTGTGGCTATAGGCTCCTCCATATTCCAAAGGTATAAATACATTGTATTTAACATGTTCCCATGACACCCTGTACAGTGGCAGGGCCTGATTTGCTTGGGACATATTGGGGAAAGACTATACATTTCAATGACTACCACTTTAACAAGACTCTCCAGTTGATAAGTTAGTTCTACTATCTGACATGTGTGTTTAATGTGACATATTGTTATTTTTTAAACAGATATTCTGATTATTTATTTAGCTGGTGTGAATCACCCATCCATTAATAAAACCTAATCAACCATCCCCTGATGACAGTCACAATTCTCTCCTTGAAACTCTCCTGAAGTAGACCTTATTGGTGTATACTTTGATAGCCCATTTAATATAGGTAGTTGAAGTGCAAAATATTTGTGCAATGAATGCTTACTTCAGAAATAAAGTAATCAAGGATACAATCTGTGTCTCTGTTTTTGACCATTTGTTAATACTTCTCCTTCCAGCACGGGAGTAATTTGATTGGCATGTCTGACTTGAACGTTACAGAGCAGCTTTACCAGTACATGGTTGGAGGTCACAAACGGTCACATGTTGGCATAAACAGAGAGAAGCATAAATCCCCCAGTTATCAGATCAAGGTATGAAACCATAAATCATATGCAGGAAGTATTGCATTTTATTTATATTTACATTTTCTTTGAAACTTAAACCCACTGAAGTGTAAAGGCATACAGCGCAACACACGCCCACAATTTTAAAGAAATAAAACCTGTTTAATTCGTTACATGCACTGTTTAATGCTGCTCTGTCACCTCCTGGCGTCTTTGGATAGTTTGCAAAGGTCTCCGATGGTAACTTTGCCTCTTGTAGTGAAGTGGATCCTCAATAGACTACGCTTTGTTCCTCAGAGAGCTTGGCAGCAGTAGCTGTGCCTGTTCTCAATGGTAGTAAAAATGCCCAAGACAAAGTAGTCCTTATGAGCATTTAAAAAATATTTACAGGTAATGGTATACATGTAGAATATTATTGTAATCGAGAAGAGTAGCAAAATGCAAATATGGGGTGTCTGTAGTAGAGGGACAAACATGGTCTATGAATTCCCACAAAATAAAACTTGTGTGAAAAAAAAATCACAAACTTCTTTATATTTTATAAAATTGTTAAATGAAAAGTGTCAAAATGCGGTTTGTTACATATTCTGGGGTGGATGTACTGTCTACACTTGTATTGTTTTATGTAGCTGTTTTTTTTGATTCTGTGACTACTATAAAAGTTGTATTATAATATTTGTATTAGAACTTCTAAAAATTACATAAAATCCTAGACATATTGGGAGTTTTAACATTCAGGATTAATTAGTGCATATACTTTGAGTTAGTTCTCTTTAGTTTCACTTCATGTGTAGAAATATGTAAAACTGACTTTTTTTTTAAAATAAATTATTCCTGTTTAGTAGTGTTATGTATACATATAGGGTAATTTATCATTTATATAATGTTATAGAATATGTATGGGCACACTTAAACAGGGTGATACTGTGGTAGGTTGAATGCATTGCAAAAGTGCCAAAAAGGCGATGGTCACAAACGCGTTGCATCTCAAATTAACTTTGGTACTTAACGGGTTAAAAACATACTTTTTTTTGTTTTATTTTGTTTTTTTTACCTCTAAAGTGTGTCTTAATACACACTTTAGAGGTTTGCCTCTAGGAAAGAAATATAATAACCTTACAAGCTTTTACCATTATTATAGGCTCTTTAATAATTCAATGCTCCTAAATGTCTGCGTTTGTTCATATTTTGCATGTTATTGAATGGCATCCTGTAGCTCTTTATTGCCTTTATATTATTTTCTTTTATCCACATCATATTCCAAAACTATAGCATGCATGTATGTATGTGAAGATGAGCCCCGGGGTGTGGTACAGTTTGACTATTAGCTCAGTTCAACGCATATGTTCATATTTTGCATGTTATTGAATGGTAACCTGCATCCCTTTATTTCCTTTTTATTATTTTCTTTTATCCACATCATATTCCCAAAAAATCTATAGCATGCATGTATGTGAAGATGAGCTCCGGGGTGTGATACATTTTGTCTGTTAAACTCAGTTCCTTGAAAGATGTGTTAAAAACAATGAATGGAATAATGAATTACACATCCCTTTTTCACACACGGTCTCATGCGTTACATTTTCCAGGTCACCACAATATCGGCGTGTAATGTACTCTTTATTATTTATACAGTTAAAAAAAAAAAAAGTTTATCATGCAAAACATATAACCAGGATATAAGGAAATTTATAGTAAAATAGATGTGTAATGCAGTTTAATATCCGCCACAAGTATGTATCTATATATATATATATATATATATATATATTTTTTTTGTACATACAGGACTATGTACTAAAGTGAGAATTGTTGGGAATTTAAAGTGAATTTTATACTTAATGCTAAACTTCCATCGAGTTCAACTACTTTGGCCATGAATTCTCTTTGAATTCCCCACTTTTTCAATTAAATAACCCTGATAGTGAACGCCTTTGTGGCTTGTTATTAAAGAGACACTATGTCAACACAACTTAATGAAGGTGTTATGATATATAGATCATGCTCTTGCCGTATAATTGCTCCATTGTTTGCCATTTAGGAGTTAAATTATTTATTATTAAGGGACTCTCTCTAAATAAAGATAGGGATAACTTAGATAAGTGAGATTATAAGGGTTGTGATAGGGATGGGGTAGGGGGCTGGTGGGAAGAAACAGGGAAATATTTGATGAATTAAAGGTTAATTAAACCCATGATTTTTTTTATTATAGTCAAGAAAAGAAGAAACACTGTATTAATGATGATAGAGAGACCTTAAAGCTACTTATCATATGTAATGGTTTTAATAATTATACATTGCGAAGGTATCTATCTGAAATATAATAAAAAAAATAAAAATATATTTTAACACCAATAGCCACACCTCCCTGCATGTGACTTGCACAGCCTCCTTACACATTTCTTGTGAAGAGATATCTATTGCTTAAACTTCCTTTTTTGCTTAGTCTATTTAATTTAGAATTTCTTTCCTCCTGCTCTGTTAATAGTCTGATAGAGCCTGCAGGAGCCTCCTGTTTAACGTTTAATTAACAGTACAGGGGATAAAAACATCTAAAGTGAATACACTGAGCTGTTCAATGTGATTGAAAATTAAACCTTTTTTTTTTTATTTTTTTCTTTCATGCAGATTGTGTGCGTCACAACCAGGGAGGTGTGACTAGGGCTGCTTAAACAGAAACACAAGTAATGTAGCCCCTAGATGGCAGATAATTGAAATGAATTGCATGATTCATACATTAAACTAAACTTTTCTTTGGTGTTCAGAGTTCAGAGTATAACTCTAATAGTATAAAGTGGAAAAAAGTGTTTTATATTTAATATGGCCATGTAAACCTACCTGTATATTTTGGAAGAAGTTCTATACCAACTACTGTATATTGCCTCACATGTTTTTATTACACCGTGTTCCTGGATTTCTGTCTCTTTGCAGGAAGGTGACAGCATAAATGTAGATGTCACATGTCCTGGGGCGACACTGGCATTAGCTATGATTTACCTAAAAACCAACAACAGGTAATATTGCTACTTAGAATAATTAAATTCTTCTAAAGGGAGTTGTCCTGGTAGAAACACTGTGTCTGACAGTCTTCTGGATGCAAGTATCAAACAAAGAGTTTAATTATTTTTTTTAAATTACATGAGCCATTAAATGTCCCATTATGTACGTAAACTGCTCGTTAAACCGTAACCCATGTTTGTGAGAATAGGAATATATGTAAAGACTTCACCAGTGATGTATTTAGATTGTTCACGCGAGTAAAATTACAAAATTAACGGGAACTACTGGTGTCCACTCTAAATATATCCATATATCCAGGCACACCAAGAGGCAGTCTTGATTTTGGAACAAAATATAATTTTGGCTCCCACATCAGCCATGTCAAGTCTAATACTTATACACAGTCTTATAAAAACTAATAAGAATTATACACAAGAAGAAGCATGAAGTGCTAAATTCATATTAATAAAGTGCTAGTGTCTAAAGTAGTTTTGCAGAAGGATCCTGCATAATATAACTAAACAAAAAGGTCAGTTATTTAAAGTGACAGTGCAGACGTGTTAGAGATCCCACTCATTTGATGTCAGACACTTCAGACGCCACTCGGTAATTTTTGGACTCAATGCCCTGTCTCCCATCCAAATCGGTGAGATTATTTATTCAATTACTGGGAATTTTTTTAAATTATGATTGGGGTTACTATATATTGGGGTAACTTCACTCAGTGTATAAGACTTGGCACAGGCTCATGTAGCTGCCGAAACATCATTACATTTTGATCCAAATCTTGTAGGGATCTTGCCCTACATGTCTGGAGCACCCTGGTGGAAGTGATCCATTATAGTGAGTTTATTGTTTACGTTTGTTTGTACAATGATATCCATTCTAGCACTATCCAGTCAGCAGTGTTGCTGTTACATTGTCATTCCTTAATGGGTTTTGGTTTGCAGGTCAATCGCTGACTGGCTGCGGGCTCCCGATACCATGTACTTACTTGACTTTGTAAAACCAGAATTCCTTTTATTAAGGGTAAGGTGGTTTTCTTTTCTTTGTTTTTTATGGATGGCCGTAATATTATCATACTGCATATACATTAATTAGCTTATTATAATAGTGTCATCCATCGACCGTTTTATCATACACAGTGTCACATATTATTCTAAACATTCTTTCAAAAGTGAATTAGTCAACAAAATAATCAATTTTTTTAAAAATCCCTACTGCTACATGTAAATAGCCAGAAAATCTAAATATTTCTGAACATACAATTTACTTCTCATTAGTTACATACATTTAACAATAATTTGCCAAATTATGCTTTGTTGAGACATGGTTAAGAATATTAGACATTTTATATAAAATGCAGAAATTGTAACAAGTACTCCTCTATTATTTTCAGACTCTTGCAAGATGCCTAATTTTATGGGATGACATTCTGCCAAATGCTAATTGGGTTAATAGTAATGTGCCCCAGGTAAGTATCCAGGGTGGTGTGGGGCTTGTGACAAATTTCACAGATGCACTCTGGGATGTCTGTTATTGCTATATACATAGCTGGTTTTAGGTTGGTACTTTTTACAAGTGTGACTGTAAGATGTATTGAAGTTTCTTGTACAGACTGAATCTTGCTCTTCACCTTTCTGTCTTGTAGATCATTACAGACAACAGCATATCACTTAATGCAACAGAACAGCCATTATCAGAAGATCTAAACTTGGAAACACTGGCGTAAGTATCACTGCTCTTTAATAGTGTTATACAGCAAAGTGGAATTATTATTTATAAGGAATAATAATGATCTACAGATAGAGATGCAGTATCAATAGTTTTAAGAAAAAACTAATGGATAAAAACACTCAAAATGCTGTTTAGCTACTATCAGCCTTTTCCTTTTGGCGTCTGGCCAGATCAAATTTTACAGATTTCAATGAAAACATTTCTTTAGGAGAAGGAATTGTGGCTAGTGTAGAGGTGAGTAAAACTAGAATTAAACATGCATACTAAAGAGGCCAAGCGATATAAAGCTATATACTGTAAAGCAGTCATCCCAAACGTTGTCCCTCCAGATGTTGATGGCCTGTTGTTCCCAGATTTCTTTGAATTAAGTAGATGGCCATATAATCATTGGAGTTGTAGTTCAGCAACATCTGGGGGGCAAAGTTTGCTATTCCTGCTGTAAAGTATAATTATATTTTCATTCATTTATTGTAGATCTTTAATTGTGAAAGCACTTGGCAATGCACAATTGTTGATTGACACTTGTATGCTTTTTTCCTTTTTGTTTTTTTATGAGGATGTAAGGATAAGTAGGTAGGTTTAGTGAATCCTACATTTCTCCAGCTAACTAAAACGGCCATCGTACCTAGCTTGTCTTAGACCAGGGGTGCTCAAAAACCAGGTCTCCAGGTGTTTTAAAACTACAGCTTCTATGATGGTTTGTCATTCTAAATGCATTCTAAAGCATCATGGGAGTGGTAGTTCTACAACATCTGGGGATCTAACTATTGGGCACCCCTGCCTTAGACCCTTGGGTAGATGGGAGGTGAAGTTGCACACAAAGCGTGAATGTAATGATTTCATATCAACTTGGATATGTGGGCAAACTAGGTGGTCTTAAAGATCCCGATTTGATGTCATATGTATGGTTTTTGTTTGTTGTTTTATTGCAGACAAGCCCATGTTTACATTATTGCTGGCGCTTGCCTGGCTTTAGGCTTTCGATTTGCTGGGTCTGCAAACCAGGCTGCATTCAACTGCTTGGTAAGATGTAAACACATATGATGATTACCACATAATTTAATGTTGCTTGAAGGCCTTGTCTTACAGTTGAATCATTTTGTTCTTTTTCTCCCAGTGTAAATTCGCAAAAGACTTTGAATGCTTATCAGGTCAAGCTGCTGGCATAGTAAGTGTATAAGACTTTATAAACAAAATATTTGATATATTTATTTTTTCTTTTTAACAAAAATTCACTTGGTATATATGTTTAAGAGTTTATTTCAAAAACATGAACAGAAAGCTGAATTTGGAATTTAGGCCAAAATAGCCAAGTTGTTAAAAATAAATAAATAATAATAATAAATAGCTCAGCAGGTGCTATTTTGTTTTACATTTCAAGATTTGTATTTCATGTTTTCATTTAATCTTAAAGGAACACTATAGTGTTAGGAATACAAAGCTGTATTCCTAGCATTAGTGTTTCTCTACGCGCCCCCTTCACCTTTGTTAAATAAACCCCTTAAGGACACATGACGTGTGACATGTCATGATTCCCTTTTATTGCAGACGTTTGGTCCTTAAGGGGTTAAACACTTACCCAATTCACTGGCTCTGACTGCGCACTCGACGTCTTCGCTGAAGGGGAACCTAATGGGTGTGTGCTACAAGCGCCTTAGGCCTTCCCCATATGAAAGCATTGAATTAATGCTTCCCTGTGGGGGATTTGAAGACGCTGGATATTGATAAACCACAGGAAGCACCTCTAGTGGCTGACTGGTAGACAACCAGTAGAGGCAGTGTTAAATCTACAATATAAACATTGTAGTTTCTTTAAAACTGCATTGTATTATTTTGCAAGGTTAAGGGGACAGTACAGTGGTCTGGGTGCCTACAATGTCCCTTTAAAGCATGATTTTGTAATTAAATATATCATCGTTTTACCTTCATAAATTAAAAATGCAGCAACCATGTAATGGTTATGTTACAGCACTAGCTCCCAGTGACGACTTCTTTTGGCACCCGTTCCTGCAATTTAATATCTTACAAAGCCACTTCGGTTAATGACCGTCTTTTCTAGGGAATTAAAATGCAAAAAAAGTGAAAATAACAATGGAACACACTTTGATATTTAGTAAGACAAAGACTATTTACTAAGGCATTTGTTAAGGGAACACACTATTACTTAGCATACGTCATTTCCACCTATTTAAAGCAAAAAAACAGAATATATTCTGCAATTCTTTAAATTGACACATAGCAGTAATTTATAAGCAAAGCAGGAATTTTGTGCAAATTGTAGTGGATAAATGTATAATTCTCAGTAAACCACTGTTGTGCAACCTCTAAATATAGTGCAAATACTTGTATGGGCAGAGAGAAGTATTATTATTATTATGATATTTATAGAGCGCCGTCAAATTTCGCAGCGCTTTACAATGGGTGGACAAACAGACATGTAGTTGTAACCAGACAAGTTGGACACACAGGAACAGAGGGGTTGAGGGCCCTGCTCAATGAGCTTACATGTGAGGGAGTGGGGTAAAATGACACAAAAAGGTAAGGATCGTATTAGACTAATGACAGTTGCAGAAGAGGAATCCGTCAGGAGCTATTAACAGTTTAATTGATACGCTTTTATGAAGAAGTGGGTGTTTAACGATTTTTTGAAGGAGTGGAGACTGGGTGAGCATCTAACGGAGGAGGGAAGCGAGTTCCACAGGAATGGTGCAGCCCTCGAGAAATCTTGAAGGCGATAGATTGAACATGAGGTTTGAAGGAGAGGTCGGAGTCAAAGAGAACACCTAGGCAGCGAGCCTGCGTGGTGGTGATGATGGTAGCACCGTTGACTTGGAGGGAGACAGACACAGGAGTAACAACACTTGAGGGAGGAAAGACCAGAATTTCAGTTTTGGTTAAGTTTAGTTTAAGGAAGTGGGCAGCCATCCAGTTAGAAACAGAGGAGAGGCAGTCAGAGACACTAGTCAAGAGGGACGGAGAGAGATTAGGAGAGGACAGGTAGATTTGCGTGTCATCTGCATAGAAATGATATTGGAAGCCAAAGGAGCTAATGAGTTTACCAAGGGAGGCAGTATAGTTGGAGAACAGTAGGGGACCAAGGACTGAACCTTGGGGGACACCAACAGAGAGGAGTTGGGGAGAAGAAGAAGAGCCAGAGAAAGAAACACTGAAAGAGCGCTGGGAGAGGTAGGAGGAGTACCTTATATATAGCACAGTATATCTTTAATATGTTTTTTTCATATAGCTGACATATATTTGAATAAGGATTTTGTCACTTTTGCTACAATTTTATGACACTGTGCAAAGAGAGAGGTGCTATAGAGCTCCCTGAACCACCATAATATTCCTGAAGTAGTTGTTATGGTGCTTGGATTCTCACTTTAAATGCTGCTAAAAACACCTTTTTTATGGTCAATAACAAACCTATAGCATCACTTATATCATTGTCCTTTTCGTGCCAGGCTCAGTCAGGGCACATATTGCAAATGAGAAGGAGAAACCGAAACATTAAGGGAAATGAATCAAAATGTTCTGTTATTAAAAGTGGTGCAAAATGTGAAAGGAGAGAAATCACAAATGGAATGTGCCTGCTGGTTTCCCTGGTTTCCATTGAAATTGCTCCAAGCTTATTTTGACCATTTTCTAGAACGGAACACTCCTTGTGTGTTTTTCCGCTTACCATGTTCCGTCCGGGCCATCAATGATTTCGGCTTCTGTAAAGATATTTAGTCATGTTGTGGATAGAACTCTGTTGATTGGCATGTGAAAAGGCTGTGTTTTGTTTATCAAGTTGGATGCTTGATACATCTGTCTGTAACATTTGTAAACCCCACATTGTTACCCCTGCTTGGATAATGATAACCATTTGACTGTTATCCTTTTTAATCTTGGCACACAGATGAATGATCCTGGAAGTGCAACATAGTGCACTAGTGTCTAATAGTGTCCAATGCTATACAATAACATTGGAATTTTTTGAACAGAAATCTACACAAACTAGTACAAATGAATGTTATTACCAATGCTTAAGATTGAAATTATCAGCCATTGCTATCTCTTACCCTTTAAGACCGGTCATTATAACCTGGAAACCTGTCTCAGTGTGGTGCTGTTGTCCCTATCCATGGTCATGGCTGGATCAGGCAACCTGACTGTCCTTCAGTTATGTCGTTTTATGCACAAGAAAACCGGTGGGGAAATGAACTATGGCTTTCACCTAGCACATCACATGGCATTGGGCCTTCTCTTCCTCGGAGGTGGGCGGTAAGTCTGAAACATTTTAGTGTGTGTGTGTTTTAGTATGGCTGTATCCTTGCACTCAGGCTGAATATACAGTGGCCGGGTGCCAGTCTGAATGATATAAATGTCTTTATTGAGGGGCCAGGGATCAACGTTTCATCCCATACTGGAAGTTTCATCAGGATAACATTACAATACAAAGCAAATATTTATATAGGAACAGTAACTAAGGTCTAACTAACCACAGGTGTGCTCAGTGCGAATCCAGGCGTCCGTGCGTACCCTGTGCGTATGCGTGTGGATAGCTTCGCCCCCAATAGTGAAGCGGTACATGCGCCATGACTTTTCGTTTACTGTTGTCGTGGTGACGCGGCTTCGATGTCATAATAGTGATGCCGATATGGGGATGCATAGTGCTGTTTGTACCTATGGTAAATCGTGGTAATATTGGAAGGATAATTGCTATAACAAGTAATTACAGGTGATTATAAATAATAACGTAATAATTACTGCTAGATTGTCGTGTTGAAGATTGTGAGAGTAGACTAAAGTATAATTGTTACACCTGAACATAAAAATAAGGCATATTTACATAAAGTACATATTAACTAAACAGTCACTTGCCTAATTAAAAAAACGATGAACCTAGAGGGGAAATAGATATTATAATTTATGAAGAAATTTAACTTACATACTTTATGAATAAATTATAGTCCCTATCTCTAAACCCCAAAACTTAGTTTGGGGTAAAGGGGTGAATATTATTGCTAACTATTGAATTTTCTATGTTCTCTCACTATTGAATTTTCCCCTTCAGTCTAAGGTTTGAGCGAAAATTCAATAGTAAGTTAGACCTTCGTTACTTTTCCTATATAAATGTTTGCTTTGTATTGTAATATTATCCTCATCCTTATGAAAGTCCTGGTACGTGACTTAAACGTTGACCCTGGAACCCTCAATAAAGAAATGTATATAATTCAGCAAGGCCGTGAGTGCAGCTCTTTCTAATATTTAAAAAAAAAAATATATATATATATATATATATATATTTTTTTTTTTTATCTTGTCTGTCACCAGTTTTGTTGTCAGGTTTATATCGCTGTCTTTTGTTTGTGGTTACAAGTGTTTCTGTTTAATTTCTATATGTGATTTTGTTTTACAGTTATACGCTAAGTACTACAAATTCTTCCATCGCTGCACTGCTTTGCGCACTATATCCTCACTTCCCTGTGCACAGCACAGATAACAGGTAAATATCACCAAGTATGTTCCTTGCATGTTCTTTCACAAATGTATTTATGTACAGTTCATTCCACAGTGAAATAACATTGTCAATGTGAGGATCTTGACCATGTCACATGCATTATGTGTTTTATATGAAGATGGTCAATTCTCCTGTCCTGCATCTCTTAATTAAATTAATTTTTATTTAAACCCATTTGTACAGTGTTGCATAAATTACTGGCATTTTATCAAAATAGAGTAGTAATAAATGATGAAGCTTCCTCTTTTAGAATATTGAAAACTTGTATACAACATTTAGAAAGCTTTTGATGAGTAGCCAAACATTTTTTTCCACAAAGCTTTGCCAGCCTTAAAGGGGAACTGTCACTTATTTGTAATTTACAGCATTGAAGCAAACATTATTAATCCCCTATAACAGATAAATAAATTGCTATATTTTCTTTTAAAATGTTATTAAAGATTTAGCTCTATGCTGATTGCCCTTATTCAAGTTACCGAGATCATATGAATGACGGATAGCTCAGACAGAGGTGCCCAGTTCCAGCATAGAGGTGTGGATATCTAGATTTTATTTTATTTTTCCCTTCAGATTAGAGGCAGTGCTTTACAACTGGGATTTCATCACCTGGAGGGAAAAAACAGGCAGGCAATCTCCCAAACTTTTCAAGAACCTCCCCCAATTAACCTTTGGCCTTATAAATTGCTTCCTACCCAAGACATCCCCAGTTCTTTGCCTGCCTCCGGCAGAGGAGGGTGTCAGGGTCAGGTTTTCTCCCTAGAAGTATGGTGAGAGGGCTGAGGCTCTGGAAGCTCTACTTCTTTTAAATAAACTTTTCAGAGATCGGCCAGGGATAACACACCAGATGGCTGTATCTCACAAATGCATAATTCTTAAACAGAGGGATCGTAAAGATAATGTTAAAGTTCCTGGGAAATGACCGTTCACATTTAAAGGGACAGCCTATGCACCATAACCATTAAAAATGCTCTCTAGTGGTTATGGTGCCTTAACTTTCCAGGCGGTTTCCCAAGATAAGAGTTAAACAATTTTTAAACAACTTGACATGTCCCTATTTGAACAAAATTGATGTCAATAATGTGGAATTAAGAACTTACATATTACATATATATCAGAAGAGGAGGCTTGGGTGCATGGAGCCAGTGAGGGGAACTGTCAAATCGTTTGATAGAGTTCTGGCTACTCTGTCTTGATTGAAGATGGTCTTTTGCAAGAGTACAACTAAAACTTTATTTTTCTATTGTTTGTTTATATATATAATCATCCTGCAATTTTCTTCCATGGCTATTACACAGCCTTTATCACCATATATGAGCAATCTTTACATTCTGTTATCCCATTATCCCAATAAGGTATCACCTTCAAGCTCTGCGGCACCTTTACGTGCTGGCTGCTGAGCCACGGCTCCTGGTGCCTGTTGATGTTGATACAAATACTCCATGTTATGTGCTTTTGGAGGTTACTTACAAGGTAAGACTTTGAATTTAGATAGCAACAAAGGTTTTGTCTGGGACATCAGATGCATGCAGTATCTATTCACAAATAATGTTAAACACTTGCCATTTTCATAGTTTGACATTATTCTTTTTTTTATTATTTTGCCACATTTCATGATTTCGCGATTTCATGCCGAAAAGTGTATAACCATAATCACTAACCCCAGTACAAATAAAAGTTAATATGCAGTGATCCAGTGTATAACAAAGACAAAATTTATATCAAACCACACAAAGTGAGAAAGTAATAAATATGCAAAAATACAACCTGAGCTTGTCAGTATAATCAGGTAGTATCTAAAAGCATAAAATAAAATACAACATCGTGTAATCTGTATAAAAACAGTTAAGATAGGGCAGAACAGACTATCACTCACATTATGCAGAGCCGTCCCAGGCTCTGTATTGTAGGCTCAAAGGTGCCAATACAGGCAAACGAAGTTCCCAGAAAGTAGATGGAGAAATTTCTCAAAAAAATATATATTTATTGAATAATATAAAATTCAAAATTACAAAGCTCAAGGTACTAGAGGAGTGGAATCCAAACCATGCAAACAAAAGGATATCCACTTACCCCAAAACAAAGACCGAGAGGAAATACATGAAATAAACACACATAAAAATAAAATACAACTGGGTAATAAAAAATAGCAGCAAGCAGCAGACGCGTTTCGGCTCAAAAAGCCTTCTTCAAGTGCTGATGTTGAGGTCTCCGGAGCTTGTTTAAATACTCTAGATCATTGCAAACACGTGTGTAGTCTCCGTTCAATTCCGTCACTTCCGGTATTTTCGAATGACGTCACTTCCGGTTATCGGCGTTTGGAACGCATGGTGATCCAGTGTGTCTGTACTTTGCTGGGGTCTTAAATATTATTTGTCTTTTCTAGATTTATTTTTAAATGTCCTTTATTTTTTTTTTTTATAAAATCCAGTGCAAAGTCATGGGTAAAAAAAGTTTGGTGATTTTTTTAAATGTATTTTGCCTTTTTTAAATGTAATATTATTTTAAATATGCATAGGGAACACAGTGGTATGAAGAAACAACGGAAGAACTGATGGCACCAAGCCTGCTTCCTGAGCTTCATCTGCTAAAACAGGTGTGTGTATTTTAACATCTATATATAAAGCATGCTACTCTATCACATCGTGTGTAACTGGAGGTCATTTTCTGCCTCATGCTTGTCCTACAAATGTATTAGAAAGATAGAATACAAATGGAGCCACTGTCCTTCCAAAACGCCATCCTCTGCCAAGCGTGTAACACACCATCTCTGTGTTAACCATTAGATCCAGTCTAGGAGAAATTTGAGTTACACTTGTGATTTCTGTTATATATGGACGGTTTTGTATTATACCTTATTTTGTTTTATACTATTTTCCACGTAGCTTCTCCTCTTCATGACCATATTTTCTTTAGTAAGCATATAAACTGCTTGCTTTTTAGCCACCACCTCTGTGTTCAGATGTTTATGGAGAATGCATTGTCTGTAACACTTCAGCAGAATCATTGGGAGAGATCTTGGCTGTCTGCATTCATGGCGTTAATTCAGGTGTTCAGCTTCACTCTTACTTCACATAAATATACACACGTACAAAATGAAGTGAATGGGAGCTAACTTTTGTAGCTGACTGTACTTTAACTGTATTTGTTATCCATTCCATTAACACATAATTATTTTTCTCTCTATATCAGAGTGGAGTTGGTTTAAACCCGTATTTAAATAAAGATTTAAACCTGCAAGAGTGAGTTTGAATCATAATTTTTCAATGTAAAGACTCACTCTCCCTGGTTGTTCCGATTAGTTCGACAGTTATGTCAGAACTGCTTTTGTTTTATACCATTAGAAATACGTTGGTAATGATGACATCATTGCAAGGTTAAATATCCAGTTTAGTAGCTTAAAAACTCATCAAAGAACAGCTTAAATAGTTGTATTTAACTAAAATAATAACATATAGCATATATATTCATGTATTTGTTTAAACATCAATGATTGTTAAAGGGACACTATAGTCAACATATAACGGTCCCCTAGCCTTCTTTCTTGCTTTTATATGAACTTGTCATAAAAAAAAAAAAATCTGAGTAAGTTTTAATAATAAAACTTACCTCCGTTCTAGCGCTGAGCTCCCCGCTAGGCCACGCCCCCTTTTTTTTGGTCAAAATGAAGAAATCACAGGGCCCAATAGGACGCTTCTCCTTGAGAAGCGTCATCGCGATGTGGTGTGCATGCGCGGTTTCGCGCTGCACCAATCACATTCTTCATAGAGCGGCATTGAATGCCGCCCTATGAAGAAACTCAGCGCTCAACTGCGCATGTGCGCGGAATACGCGTTTGCGAGCTGAGCTGTCTGACTGACAGCTCAGCTCGCTTTCTATACCCGCCCCCCTCCTCAGCCAAACTGTGTTTGCATATAAACACTATATATAGATCTCTCTCTCTCTCTCTCTCTCTCTCTCTCTCTCTCTCTCTCTCTCTCTCTCTCTCTCTCTCTCTCTCTCTCTCTCTCTCTCTCTATATATATATATACTGATATAGTGTTTCTATGCAAACACACAAGTAGTAAAAAATTAGACATACACACACTCTTTCTCCATCCATCCCCATCATTCATATCATCCATCCCCATCATCCATATCATCCATATCCATACCCAAATCCATCCACTCCCAATATCCATCCATATCCATCCATCCCCATCATCCATCCTCACCCACTCACCCTCAGTCACCCACACACACTCACTAAATTTACTTACTGTTTGAATCCTCCCCTCCTCCTCTTCGGTCTTCAACCTGTCAGCTCAAGCCACTCCCACGCAGTGCTGACAGCCTCAGCACACAAAGCTCGTGCACAGTGCTTTGTGTGCTGATAGCACGTCTGAAGTATTCACCCATGCGTGAGTACATCAGACCTGAATGAAGCCTTTTTAGGGCTTCTGAACTCTGAAGTCCATCTGGTGGCAGTCTGACTGCAACTGGAGTTGTTCCAAGCTTCCAATGTAAACACTGTATATTCTTTGAAAATACAGTGCTTACAAGAAAAAGGCTTCAGGGAGCTGTAGCACACACCTGAACAACCTCATTAAGCTGAAGTTGTTCAGGTGACTATAGTGTCCCTTTAACTAAGTGGCTAAATAAACTATCTTTACAAAGCTTAAACTGCAATGGTGTATCCTCTTACCAGGGTCCCCGCTGGGAGCCTACCCTTCTCTGATGCTGGGTGAAAATTCTCACTGTTCACTTCTTTGCCATTTAAGAGTTAAAGCACTTTGTTTATATAGCCCTAGTCACACCATTCTGCATGTTTCAGCTTTCCTAAACACTTACTGTAAAGTGAGATCTATTGTTTAAATTTCCCTTATTATACATTCTGTTGAATTTAGAATTTCTTATTTCCTGCCCAGTTAATAGCTTGATAGACACTGCAGGATCCTCCTGTGTGTGATTAAAGTTAAAAAAAAATACGTTGTGATTACATTGTTTTGATGCCTATAGTGTCCCTTAAACTTGGATCCATGTATTTACCAAAAATTTTAATATTGCATTAATACACCGCCTCATTCTACATAACGGATCTATATTAAATGCTGAGTAGTAGTTGGACTATGTTGTATCTTAAATTGAAAACTGTCTCTAAATCAGTGGTTCCCAAACAAGTCCTTACAACACACCAACAGCACAGGTATTGTCAAATTTAAATAGAAAAGGGAAATACATAAATCCTGGATTGTTGGTCTACCATGAGGACTGGTTTGGCAACCTCTGCTGTAGATAAAAAACATTTTTTCCCCATCCAAAAGGCACTTTTTTTTTTTTTTTTAAATTAAACAAATCTGAATGATTGATTTCCCCCCCACTCCCCTCCTCAATTTGTATTCATGGTGTTTTTGCTTTCTGTCATCATTTGTAGTACATATCAATGTGTAATGTGCTTTTTGATTAATTTTTCTTTTGATTTTCCTTTTCTGAATGTAAATATTTTACGCTTTGATTTGAAAGATTGGTTTAATGACAGATGTGGTATTAATTATTCTAAACAAATTTATATTCACTGTAAGCTGGAGAGGTTAGGCTCTGCTAGTTTTTTGATCTGTTGCAGTAGAATCCTTGTCTTTAATATCCAGTTAACCGAGATGGGTGTTTTAGCTTCCATACTGTATTTATAAAGGTCTGTCTTGGTTCTCTTTGTCTAATCAGATTAAAGTGAAAGGCCCCCGATACTGGGAAATAGTGATTGACTTGCACAAAGGCCCTCAGCAACTCAAGTAAGTGAGAATTGTCTTATTAGTACGTTACTATTTCAATATCTTGAACAGGTGATGCTTGCTGGTTTCCCCAGTCCTTATTAAGAAGACTAATTAGACTGAAATCCCAGTGGAGTCAACAGGCTATTTCCACTCATTCCAGACTGTAGACAATATGTTGCGACTACTGCAGACCCTCACTTAACCCACTTTTTCTTTAGGATGAATTTCCTTCTCATCTCTTATGACTCTTGGTGTGCCTGCTATCGTACCTGCTTAATTATCATTAGGTTCACTTCAGACTGTCACACTGTGTGATAAATGTGATCTTATTTACATTCACTATATAAATCTGGACCACAATTGTAAATGTACTGTCTTAGGCTCTATGGATGTATCTTTCGATCGTCCGCTTTCCCGCTGAAGAATCTCATTGTTATTAAGGGGATACTGTAGGCATAATAACCATTTCATTTAATTGAAATGGTTATAGTGCCGAGGGTCCCCTAGCACTCCTCCATTCAGTGTTTAATTATTTTTGAGCAAGTTAACAGTGAATGAGGGTTCCTGACTTCCTTAAGTCTCGCCATGACTGGAGTTATGGCTATGGCAGAGATCACACACTTCCTTGTAGCCATACCAGTTCTTACTTGCAATGGCACAGTGATTGGGTGATTACAGTCAGCTGACACTCTTAGCTAATCTCAGCCGCCTTTTGCTGCTCAGGTTAATACTAACTCACTAGCCCAAGCAGCACAGATGGGATTGTTTCTGGGGTTCTTGTTTAATTTTAAGACGTTAAAGCTCCAGGGAACTCCAGACATTATAACGGCTTCAATTAGGTGAAGCAGTTATAGTGCCTACAGTGTCCCTTTCGGTGATCACTAGGATCCGCCAACAGAGTTGTCTTAAGAATTTAAAAAAAAAAAAAAAAAAGTTGATCATACAATTTAAGTGTACTTTGGTTTCTTGTCTTATTTGAAAAGTGCCTCTTAAAATGAATCCTGCTTCCAAAAATATATAAAACATTTCCACATTTAAATTAGCCTACAGGTTCAGAGACGTTTCTGAAAATTAAATGCATGCTTTTTTTAATGAAACCACTGGTAATCATGAAGTGAGATTTTAGGTTAAGGGATGGAGGGCATTGGATTGCAGGGAATTCTATAGTTTGTGTTAAACACTTGAAACAGTCTGACAAAAACTGTTCCTTTAAAAATGAAAAATAAACACTTTTAAAAATGCTTATTATACTAATTTCAGTTATTTTTCATCTTCTGTTTTGGTTCCTTTTATTGCATTATTAAAAAACAAAAACAAAAAAAAAGTTGTATTTAAATTTAATTTAAAAAAAATAACTTGGCACATGTATCACCTGTGATTTTTGGTTAGTTGGGAAAAAAATATTTTTTTCTGTGCATAATCCAAATACCAGTTAGTCATTTAGTAAACATTTGTTGTTGATGGCATGCTGTATACCTGTTTTTTTGCCATGCTATATTTTAAACAAATTGGAAATAAAACTTGCCATGTTTTGTCAACATAGATTCTGTTTTTGCTAAATTTCTTATATTAAACAGAGTGGGAAGATTTTTTAATTTTTTATTTTGTTTTCCTGTGTAGAGCGGGTCATTTAATAAAGGGAGAATTTTCTGTGAATTTCAAATTTAAGACCAGAGTAGCTGAGCATAGATGACTTTCTGGTTCATCTATTTTGACCTTAAATATGAAATTTACTTTGAAATTTAATGATTTACCCTGATTGTTATCCTAGTCTAATATTTACAGGGGGAAAAAAGCATCCAGGGCATTAAGCAGAGTAGACAATTTAAACTATAATGTGTATAAAGTTACATAGATATCAATACAACAGTTAGTGAGACGTATTTGTGACGGTCAACCGTGAAACATTGGAGGAATAGCTAAAAAGGATCTCCTGGGAGAGAAAAGAGGTGTTAATAGCAAAGATGTAAAGTTTGAAAATACCTGGTAAAAGGTAATAGAAGAGGACGAATAAGAGAAAAAAATAAGTATATATATATGTGTGTGTGTATGTATATGGAAGGGGGGGGGACCAGAGAGCTGTTAGTAACAGGAACTCTATATGGGAAGGGGGCTAGGAGTGGAACAGCAATGGATCGATCTGTTAACAAAGGGGCAATACCTACTGCTTTTCAAATTCAGTAGATGTGTGATCTGAAAGTATCTCTAGGTATCTAGACTGGTGGGTGGTTCTGGCTAAAAGAAAAAACATGTCAACTACCCTGGGAAATTAGGTGGCAAGGAATATTTTGTGGAGTGATGGGAGGCAGAGCCAACCAAAGATTTGTTGGGTTGACAAAATCTGAAGGTCCTTTCTGATAGTATTATGAAGCTTTTTGGAATTACAATGAAGTTGGAAATGGTCATGTTTGCTCAGTACCCCAAGGATTACACTTTGTAAGAAAAACGTGCTTGCAGTTACTACAGGAGGAAGCCGTAAGTTAGAAGTTCAGGTTTAGCAGCTTTAAAGCATACATTTGGGGATTGTACATTGATAAAAGGTGTCTTGCCTGCAATGTTAGTGTTACTTAGTTTTAGTACTAGTACTTAGTCTCCTCCCCTCCCACCACTAAACTATTGGGTGGCACTAGTGCACCATGCAATATTCCACATTGTGCATAAACTTTTTATTATTTTTTTAAATGTAAGAATGAAGCCAGCACGAGGGTAGTGGCTAATAGACAGCAGTGTGTAAGACTTCTTTAATATAATGAACAGCAGAAGGTTGTTGGCATATACAGCCAAATCATGCACTTTGTCAACAACCTGGAAACATGCAGTACTCTGTGATAACTAGGCATGTGCATGGGAAAAATTTTCGGTTCAGTTTAGCTCGGCATTCCGAAATTCGAGATTTTCGCAATTTGTCACTTCAGAAATTCGGTAAGTTCGGGACTTCTATTGCAGCCGCTTAGTAGATAACTCCCTAATTCCCACGGTATAAAAATTACTTAGTATTAGTAAATTTTGCCCCTACTCGCTATACCGCGAGTAGGGGCATGTATAGTAAACAGTGAGCAGCCTGTGGCTGCTCACTGTTTAAATTAAAAAAAAGGGTCCCCCTCCCAAGCCTCCACTCGCGACGCGAGTGGGGGCCTTTAAACTAATTTACCCCTGAGCGCCGGGTGGGGGCCCTAAAGTAAAATGATGGGGGGGGGACACACCTATTGTCCTCCCCCCTGGCCCCCACCCCTGAGCAGTGGGTGGGGGCCCTAAATACTAATAAGGGGGGACACCTAATGTTCTCCCCCCTGAGCGGCGGGTGGGGGCCCTAAATTGGAATGGGGGGGTTACCTAATGTCTTCCCCGGCTCTCACCCCTGGGCGGCGGGTGGGGGCCCTAAATACCAATAGGGGGGACATATTGTCCTCCCCCTTGCCCCCACCCCTAAGTGGCGAGTGGGGGCCCTAAAAAAAAAGTCATCCCCACACGTGACTAGGGGTCCCCAAACCCCTAGTCACCCCCTCCCCCCCAAAAAAATTATCCCCCTACCTACCCCCCTCACCCTAAAAATAATGAGGGGGGGACTTTTCACTAAGTACCTGTAAAAAATAAAACTTACCATTCAATGTTTTCTTTCTTCTAAAATCTTCTTTTTTCAGCCCCAAAAAAGGCCAAATAAAAAACCATAATAACCGACGCAATTAATAAAAGAAAAAATTCCATCACCACCCGGTGAGGGCTCCGCACAGACTGAGCTCTGCCCTCGCCGGGTGAAGGAGTATTATTTCTTTGCGCTCTGTTTTTTTTTTGTGTTTTTTTTTGTAGTGTGTTGGTTATTATGGTTTTTTATTTGGTCTTTTTTGGGGCTGAAAAAAGATTTTAGAAGAAAGAAAACATTGAATGGTCGAATGGTAAGGTTTTTTTTTTTGTTGTTTTTACAGGTACTTAGTTAAAGGTCCCCCCCTCATTATTTTTTAGGGTGAGGGGGATAGGTAGGGGGTTAATTTTTTTGGAGGGGGGAGGGGTGACTAGGGGTTTGGGCTGCTCACTGTTTAATAGACATACCCCTACTCGTGGTATAGCGAGTAGGGGCATAATTTACTAATACTAAGTAATTTTTACTTAGTAAATTTGGCTGAAAGACCAATTTAGGTCTTTCAGCCTTTTGGTAGATAGCTCCCTAATACCGTGGGAATTAGGGAGTTATCTACTTATTCATTCCTGTCATTACACTGACTGGCTAAGTAACTTACATTTTACATGAATGTATGTATGTTGATTGTTGTAAGTGTTGCAAATGCTTACAGCTGAATCCTGGCTATGTTTGTATACTTTTTATTTAAAATTGTATACAATGTAACATTCTTCTTCTTTCACTGGGTAAGTATATTGGTACTTAGGCAATACTGTATTTCGGGACTTCAGCAATTCGGACATTTTGAAGTACCCGAATTCACCGAAATTCATCCGAATTCATATTCGGACCGAAACGAATTGCACATGTCTAGTGTTAACTGCTCCTCGAAACTGCTACGGTGATAGAACATGAAGCAATGGGCAGTGGACAGTCTCACACTGTTTTTAGACTGCATTCTCTTAGACCAGGTATAATAATGTTTTTGTTTTTTTTACTCAGATTCTTGCCATAGGAAGGATATATATAATATAAACAAAATATCTGTTAATTGGATTGCTACATTGAACCGTGCACGTCAAGTGGATATATACAAAAAATATAGAGAATACAATATAGTGCAGATTGTAAAACACTGAGCCAATTTTATAGGCTCTTTGAAATGTGAGTGATCCATTCTGCTACTTAATTAAACTATCAGTGTTTTTACAATCTGCACTATATTTTTTTGTATATATCCACTTGACGTGCACGGTTCAACCAAGATCTCAAGGGGCAACCCCAAAATTTTCATAGCACTGCACTTGAGGTATATGTTCTAAATATACCATTTTTTTTTATCTTTCTGTTAAATTGTGTGTGGAATAAAGGGGAATCCACACTACTGTACAGAGCTGCTATACATCAATTTCACTATAAGCTATTTTTGTGACACACAATCTCCCAAAAGGAGACTTTGGTTCTAGATTGCTACATCATTGTGACTTTTCCCTCTTATTTACACACCTGTTCATGGGTCGACAGATTCATTTTAATTAAATTTAAAAAAATATTTTTTTTTTTCCTTCTTCAATCAGTATTTTTATTGAGGCATACATGTTACAAAAAATTGTTATATAATAACATTGGGGTATAGTACGTACAATAACAGATAATGTGAGTATAATTTTCATCAACAATAATGAAACTATCTTGAAAAGCACTGAGTGAGCAATAATCTGGTGTATGAGTAAAACACAAGTAATATAGTAATATAAGACAAGTACTATGCCAGTGAATTCTTTACAATTTGCAGTCACCCTATTGTCACATAGGGTACGGTTGGGAGTGTTGCACAAGTGCCACTGATGGATGCAAGTCAACAATACTGGTGTCCCAGTGCATCACTATACCCGCACCAGGCCTAATAAGGAGCCTTCACTAATACTGGCCGGGTTATAAATAATGTCCAAGTCCTTTCCCCTGGACAGTGGATCCATGCACTTTGGTCTGTTGCTTGGACATCTCCACCCAAATAGCTCTCCACAAGTGGGGGGGAGATGTGATGGGGACAGTCCCCTAATGGCTCTCAGCCCAAGAGGGGCCTTACGTCTGAATGGTGTTGAGAGATGGCTAATGTGCCTGGTGCAGGGACACCCTACCTCCAGCTCTGCGTTGCCGAGCCTAAGTCTTTTAGTGAGTATTGGGTGGCTTATAGAATGCTTGTTTGTAAAGTAGTGCCCACATCCTCTTACAAAGTTGGTCGTATTTGGACAGGATGTCCTCAGTTGCATATTAGGTTTTGCTCCACGTGGCTGCACAGCCATTTTGCAAAAAGCTAGTACTTACAGTTGCAAGAAAAAGTATATGAACCCTTTGGAATGATATGGATTTCTGCACAAATTGGTCATAAAATGTGATCTGATCATCTAAGTCACAACAATAGACAATCACAGTCTGCTTAAACTAATAACACACAAAGAATGAAATGTTGCCATGTTTTTATTGAACACACTATGTAAACATTCACAGTACAGGTGGAAAAAGTATGTGAACCCTTGGATTTAATAACTGGTTGAACCTCCTTTGGCAGCAATAACTTCAACCAAACATTTCCTGTAGTTGCAGATCAGACGTGCACAACGGTCAGGAGTAATTCTTGACCATTCCTCTTTACAGAACTGTTTCAGTTCAGCAATATTTTTGGGATGTCTGGTGTGAATCGCTTTCTTGAGGTCATGCCACAGCATCTCAATCGGGTTGAGGTCAGGACTCTGACTGGGCCACTTCAGAAGCCGTATTTTAAAATTCTGTTTAAGCCATTCTGTTGTTGAGTTACTTCTATGCTTTGGGTCATTGTCCTGTTGCAACACCAATCTTCTGTTGAGCTTCAGCTGGTAGACAGATGGCCTTAAGTTCTCCAACAAAATGTCTTGATAAACTTGGGAATTCATTTTTCCTTCGATGATAGCAATCCGTCCAGGCAGCAAAGCAGCCCCAAACCATGATGCCCCCACCACCATACTTCACAGTTGGGATAAGGTTTTTATGTTGGTGTGCTGTGCCTTTTTTTCGCCACACATAATGTTGTGTGTTTCTTCCAAACAACTCAACTTTGGTTTCATCTGTCCACAGAATATTTTGCCAGTACTGCTGTGGAACATCCAGGTGCTCTTGTGCAAACTGTAAACGTGCAGCAATGTTTTGTTTGGACAGCAGTTGCTTCCTCTGTGGAATCTATTCTTGTTTAGTGTTTTACGTATTCTAGATTCGCTAATAGGGATGTTAGCATTTGCCAGTGACTTTTGTAAGTCTTTAGCTGACACTCTAGGATTCTTCTTCACCTCATTGAGCAGTCTGCGCTGTGCTCTTGCAGTCATCTTTACAGGACGGCCACTCCTAGGAAGAGTAGCAGCAGTGCTGAACTTTCTCCATTTATAGATAATTTGTCTTACCATGGACTGATGAACAGCAAGGCTTTTGGAGATACTTTTATAACCCTTTCCAGCTTTATGCAAGTCAACCAATTCTTAATCGTAGGTCTTCTGAGAGCTCTTTTGTGCGAGGCATCATTCACATCAGGCAATGCTTCGTGTGAAAAGCAAACCCAGAACTGGTGTGTTTTTTTTATAGGGCAGGGCAGCTGTAACCAACACCTCCAATCTCATCTCATTGATTGGACTCCAGTTGGCTGACATCTCACAGAGATGTCATTAGTCTAGGGGTTCACATACTTTTTCCACCTGCACTGTGAATGTTTACATGTTGTGTTCAATAAAAACATGGCAACATTTCATTCTTTGTGTGTTATTAGATAAAGATAGAGGAGTGCAGGTAAAAATATGTGTATAATATACTTATAAATGCTTGATTGTCCTTTAGATGTTACCTATATACAGAAAAGGATAAACATAGCATAATACTGTTGGACTAAAAGATTGTCAATAAGTAAATATTGGTTCCACTCACACTTTGCAGAGCCACATATAGTAGGCTCTGACTTTTGTCGCTCTTTTCAAATCCCTGATGTATTTGACTCCACCACACCTCCAGGTCTCTCCACTTTTGCCAGGATACAGGAGATATAAATGATTCCAAAGGAGATAGGGGATATAGGTCAAAAATTTATTTAACATATATAGTTAAAAACAGGGAAATCTATAAAGTGCATTCAAGTGAAAATCAATAAGGTAGCAGCACTGACGCGTTTCGACCGTCAAAACAGTCTTTTTCAAAGTGCATAAAATGTTCGTCTCCATACTCTGTATATATACCATTTGAATTTGGCGCCAAAAATCTCCGTTCGCTGGCGTCCATGTACTTCCTGGTTTCGCCGGCCGGCTTACTTGTCTCCACCCATTTTTACGTCAGATTGCGTTTAGTTGCGTCTGACGTCAGATGTCTTTTTCCCGAACCGGAAGTAACTCAAATTAGCTCCCTGAAGCTGCCGCAGCCATCTTAAAAGAGTCTTTATAATATATTCAGTATGGGACTATCCTGGCAATATATTCTTCAATTTGTAACAAAGTACAAACATCTCGATCTTTATAAACCTATGTTGCTAATAAAAAGCATATGCAATTGCACAGACATATTTTTCATAAGTATATTTAAAAGAAGAGAAGAGAATACCATATAACATTTAAAACAAGAGAGAAAGAGATAACATCATTAATATGTCTGTGAAACACAGAACAGTAAAACATATAGATTGTTAATACATATATTCATAAAAAATATATATATAGAAAATCATTTTATATTAAAATCATAACTATAAACCGTTTTTTAAAAATAATTAAATGAGCACACTCATTTCAAAATCCATATTAAGTCCTTTAGGTGATAGTGTGTCCAAATTAAAAATCCAACCCATTTCACATCTACTCAAATTTGCGTTGATATCACCTCCTCTCCAATGTTTTGTAACCGTTTGAATTCCATAAAACTTTATATGACTTGGGTCCTGATTGTGGTGTTCAAGAAAATGTAGAGAGACATTATGGGTTTTAAGTCCTTTTTTGATGTTATATATGTGTTCACGCACCCTCGTGGCCACACATCTAGATGTTTTGCCCACATATTGTAGACCACAGGGGCACTCCAACACATATATAACATTCTTAGTCTTACAAGAGATAAATTTATCTATCTTGTACTCTTTTAAATTAACATTGGAGTGGAAGGATAAAATCTTTTTTTCTTTTATTTTAGATGTTCTACATCCCATACATTTTCCACAAAAATTAAAACCTTTTAAAATGGTCTTCTGACTGTTTAAAAAATTATTGTCAGTTTTTTCAATAAAACTCGATGTTAAAATTTGCTTAAGATTCTGGGCCCCCCTATATATAATTTTAGGTTTCTCTCCTATATAAGGTGCAATATCATCATCTTGTTGAAGTAAATGCCAGTTCTTATTAAAAATTTGCTTCAGTTTTGAATGATTTTTGTTAAAATTAAATATTAGTGGGATTGTATCTTCATATTTTTTATCATTCTTTTGCTGGTGTTTCAACAATTCTTCTCTATTTAATTCCCCAATTTTTTGAATTGTATTCTCAAGACTAGCTTCCTTATAACCTTTTTCTAAAAATTGACCTTTTAGTGAGGAGGCCTGTAAATTATATTTTTCTATTTCTGAACAGTTCCTTCTCAATCTAAGGAATTGGCCTCTTGGGATATTATCCAGCCAAGGTGGAAAGTGACAGCTTCCCTTTTCTATGAAGCTGTTCACATCCACCTGTTTAAAGAATGTACATGTCTCAATTTTGTTCTTTTTAATATAGATGTTTAAATCTAAAAAATCTATAGTTTGTTGGTTGATTGTATGGGTTAGTTTAATATTCCATTGATTAGTATTAAGATAATTTAAAAAGTCTAAAGCTGATGATTCACCACCTTTCCAAATAAAGAAAATATCATCAATATATCTTCTATAGAGGACCAGGTTCGCTACCCAGTCATGTTGGGAAAAAACAAAATTTTCTTCCCAATGGGCCATAAATAAATTAGCATAACTGGGAGCGAACCTGGTCCCCATAGCAGTTCCTCTGCATTGTAGGTAAAAATCACCTTCAAACCAAAAGAAATTATTGTTTAAAATAAATTTGATAGATTCCAAGATAAAATCAATTTGGAAGCATCATTAATTTCCAGTAAAAAGAGTAAATTTCAAAGAGATCATAATGATTATGCAACCAATAACGTTAGAAAGAAACCTAGAATCAATAAGAACTTTGAGAAAAAATATGAGAATAGGATGACTCAAAAGAAGGATAAAATAAATTTACTTAGAAAAGAGTCTATCTCATATCCAAAAAGGAATGAACCCAATGATTGGATAGAAGTAAAAAAGAAGAATAAATATCCTCAAAAAGTTGAGAGTAGGAAAACAAATGGAAGAGATAATAGGAAAAAAGAAAGAGAGCAATATAGGACCCCATTACCACCAAAGAGATTTATTCCTACATATAATAGGTATGAACCATTAAAACGAAATGATAATGGAAACTATGATCCTTTTTTAGAGAGAGGCCAAAGAGACAGGTGTTATATGAGCCCATTCCCACAGAAAAGAAGACACAGAGAGTACGAGGAGGGAGAGATAGGAGAATTGGAGGAAATGGAAATGAGAGAAATGAGGAGACCCGAAGGAAAAATAAGGCGGAGATAAAGATTTTTAACCTATCGGATAAAATTTTAGATGACAATCATAAGAAAGTTTTAAGTAAAGGTTTTAAATTCGTTCCTAGTTGTCCAATCAATAAATTTGAAACCTACACAGATTTAAATAGGTTCACTAGGAAACTTTGTTTAAAAAAGTTTTTTAAAGAGAAGGAAATTAATAGTATGAGAAACCAAGATGATGAAACTAATGAATTTCAACATACAGATTTAAAGAACCCCTCAAAATTCTATCCTACTTATTTAAAATCAAAAGAAATGAAAGTATTTGAAAAAGCCTGCATTAAGGATATAAAAGAAATAAAAGTTAAAAACAATAAATATCAGAATAACCTAACCATTAAAGAGAAAAAAGCAATGATAGATCTAAAGAAAGATAAAAATATAGTTATCAAACCTGCCGATAAGGGGGGTGGAGTGGTCATTTTGAGTAAGGACAGTTATATAGCGGAAATCAAACGACAATTAGATGATCAAGAAACGTATAGAAAACTTAAAAGTGACCCATCGACTGAAATAAGGAGAGAGTATATTAAAATCTTATATAAGGGTCTTATGAAGGGAATTTTAATGTCCAAAGAATATAAATTTTTGAATACAGAATTCCCAAGAACACCCGTTATATATGTTTTACCAAAGTTACACAAAGATATACAAAATCCACCTGGGAGACCTATAGTCTCAGGGATAGGATCACTATTGTCACCTTTATCTAAATATGTTGATACATTTCTACAGCCGATAGTTAGGACTTGTCCTTCTTTCCTTAAAGACTCCATGAGTCTGTTACAAATTTTGAAAGATGTTAAGTGGGAGGAAGATTTTTTACTTGTCACATGTGACGTAGCCAGCCTCTATACATGTATTCAACATGATAGAGGCTGTGAAGCAACGAGATGTTTTCTCCAGACTTCTAAAATGTATCATGAAGAACAGATTGATTTTATCTTGGAATCTATCAAATTTATTTTAAACAATAATTTCTTTTGGTTTGAAGGTGATTTTTACCTACAATGCAGAGGAACTACTATGGGGACCAGGTTCGCTCCCAGTTATGCTAATTTATTTATGGCCCATTGGGAAGAAAATTTTGTTTTTTCCCAACATGACTGGGTAGCGAACCTGGTCCTCTATAGAAGATATATTGATGATATTTTCTTTATTTGGAAAGGTGGTGAATCATCAGCTTTAGACTTTTTAAATTATCTTAATACTAATCAATGGAATATTAAACTAACCCATACAATCAACCAACAAACTATAGATTTTTTAGATTTAAACATCTATATTAAAAAGAACAAAATTGAGACATGTACATTCTTTAAACAGGTGGATGTGAACAGCTTCATAGAAAAGGGAAGCTGTCACTTTCCACCTTGGCTGGATAATATCCCAAGAGGCCAATTCCTTAGATTGAGAAGGAACTGTTCAGAAATAGAAAAATATAATTTACAGGCCTCCTCACTAAAAGGTCAATTTTTAGAAAAAGGTTATAAGGAAGCTAGTCTTGAGAATACAATTCAAAAAATTGGGGAATTAAATAGAGAAGAATTGTTGAAATACCAGCAAAAGAATGATAAAAAATATGAAGATACAATCCCACTAATATTTAATTTTAACAAAAATCATTCAAAACTGAAGCAAATTTTTAATAAGAACTGGCATTTACTTCAACAAGATGATGATATTGCACCTTATATAGGAGAGAAACCTAAAATTATATATAGGGGGGCCCAGAATCTTAAGCAAATTTTAACATCGAGTTTTATTGAAAAAACTGACAATAATTTTTTAAACAGTCAGAAGACCATTTTAAAAGGTTTTAATTTTTGTGGAAAATGTATGGGATGTAGAACATCTAAAATAAAAGAAAAAAAGATTTTATCCTTCCACTCCAATGTTAATTTAAAAGAGTACAAGATAGATAAATTTATCTCTTGTAAGACTAAGAATGTTATATATGTGTTGGAGTGCCCCTGTGGTCTACAATATGTGGGCAAAACATCTAGATGTGTGGCCACGAGGGTGCGTGAACACATATATAACATCAAAAAAGGACTTAAAACCCATAATGTCTCTCTACATTTTCTTGAACACCACAATCAGGACCCAAGTCATATAAAGTTTTATGGAATTCAAACGGTTACAAAACATTGGAGAGGAGGTGATATCAACGCAAATTTGAGTAGATGTGAAATGGGTTGGATTTTTAATTTGGACACACTATCACCTAAAGGACTTAATATGGATTTTGAAATGAGTGTGCTCATTTAATTATTTTTAAAAAACGGTTTATAGTTATGATTTTAATATAAAATGATTTTCTATATATATATTTTTTATGAATATATGTATTAACAATCTATATGTTTTACTGTTCTGTGTTTCACAGACATATTAATGATGTTATCTCTTTCTCTCTTGTTTTAAATGTTATATGGTATTCTCTTCTCTTCTTTTAAATATACTTATGAAAAATATGTCTGTGCAATTGCATATGCTTTTTATTAGCAACATAGGTTTATAAAGATCGAGATGTTTGTACTTTGTTACAAATTGAAGAATATATTGCCAGGATAGTCCCATACTGAATATATTATAAAGACTCTTTTAAGATGGCTGCGGCAGCTTCAGGGAGCTAATTTGAGTTACTTCCGGTTCGGGAAAAAGACATCTGACGTCAGACGCAACTAAACGCAATCTGACGTAAAAATGGGTGGAGACAAGTAAGCCGGCCGGCGAAACCAGGAAGTACATGGACGCCAGCGAACGGAGATTTTTGGCGCCAAATTCAAATGGTATATATACAGAGTATGGAGACGAACATTTTATGCACTTTGAAAAAGACTGTTTTGACGGTCGAAACGCGTCAGTGCTGCTACCTTATTGATTTTCACTTGAATGCACTTTATAGATTTCCCTGTTTTTAACTATATATGTTAAATAAATTTTTGACCTATATCCCCTATCTCCTTTGGAATCATTTATATCTCCTGTATCCTGGCAAAAGTGGAGAGATCTGGAGGTGTGGTGGAGTCAAATACATCAGGGATTTGAAAAGAGCGACAAAAGTCAGAGCCTACTATATGTGGCTCTGCAAAGTGTGAGTGGAACCAATATTTACTTATTGATAATCTTTTAGTCCAACAGTATTATGCTATGTTTATCCTTTTCTGTATATAGGTAACATCTAAAGGACAATCAAGCATTTATAAGTATATTATACACATATTTTTACCTGCACTCCTCTATCTTTATCTTTTAACAATATTTGTATTTGTGTGTTTTTTAAGTGGTTTTTTAAACACTGTGGAGTTGCACTTATATTCCAGCTACCACCCCCACACTTGTGTGTGTTTTTTTGCACTTTATTGTGTAGACTTGTTTGTTTTGTGTGTTATTAGTTTAAGCAGACTGTGATTGTCTATTATTGTGACTTAGATGATGATCAGATCACATTTTATGACCAATTTGTGCAGAAATCCATATCATTCCAAAGGGTTCACATACTTTTTCTTGCAACTATATCTTGTGGACAGAAGCAGTCCATCAGGGAGGTTGTTGAGTTTAGGTTCAGTTAATACAGGGTTTGCATTTTTAATGTTAATTAAATTCTGTTTCTAAGCCCCTGGGTTCCTGTGTACTTTAGAAGTCCAGGGGTTCCAATTAATTTTAAAAGCAGTCGGGCACAGGATTCATTGGGGCATCTGGACACTGCTGTAGGACCATTCCGATTTGAAAATAAAACTTTCATTTTTTAAAGTCTTATATTGCTTTTAGTGATCCTGTCAGTGCCAGTCCCAGAAAAGCAATTATTTAAATAGTCTCTTGTGGTTTTAACCATGGTCATAAATAAATCTTTAATTCGTGTAACCCTGAAGAATTTCGCATAACTGCAGTGGTCTTTGGTTTTTAGGAACGGAAGTCATTGTTTTATTTTTAGATACAAAAAGGAAATAACATCTTTACTGCCAAGCTAAGTGTGTGATATCCTGACAAACTCATTTTCTGCTATTATAAAATTCCACTGGAGAAAATGCTGATCACGGAATGAATGTATTCACTAAAATGCGTCGTCCCAACAAAAGACAGCCAACATAAAAATGGTGCAGCAGAACCTATACTATTACACAAACCGTTTGAGTTTTCTGAAAGAGGCAAAGGAATTGGTTTTGCTAACAAGACATTTGTTACTTTGAAGATGTCAAATGTTAACTCATATATTTTAATACACCTTAAATGCAAAAAATAATAATTCAAATGTTTCCATCTCTCTTAGATCAGTTCTATCTAAGGATGGAGTATTATATGTCAAACTGCGTGCTGGGCAGCTTTCCTACAAGGAGGACCCCATGGGATGGAGAAGCTTGCTGGCTCAGACAGTCACTCACAGAAATTCAGAGGCCCGCAGCTTTAAGGTAACTAATATTTGTAGGTCTTTAGTGTCAATCACGTAGTTCTTTGTTTGCAGTGGAACTACAATGTCAATGATCCTAAACTAGACACAGGCACCTTATAAAGTGGCGCTGCCAAATTTCTTTCCCTAAGTACATTTGAAAGCAATAATGAAAGTGAATTAAATTATTATTGTTTTGTCTGGTTTTCAAATAAATTCGGCTGAAATTACAACAAATATGTCATTGTAGTGGCGGCCATCTTGATAGTGTATCACAATTCCCAAGCTGTCAGGGACAAATTACTGATAAAAAATTATACTGATAATAACAAAGGCTTTAGACAACAGCCTATCACAGTATGTATTTTACAGGAAATTGTTCTTTGAACTCTAGTTAGGCAATATTTATATAATTTATTTTTCCTATACCTTGATATTTTCTTCATAGTGTTGTGTTTTAAAATGCTCGAACATGATTGCACGGACTGCTTTTGTTGACAGATCTGCTTTAATAGAAAGCTCCAAATAACGTAGCCCCATCCCCCCATGGGAGCAGATAAACCATTTTGTAATGGTTTGACAAATTACTATCTGAAGCCTGCTGGACGCTGGTCACCTACTACATGAGAGCCAGACGTTCTCAGCATTGAGCTAGTCCGGTGTGCAGGATTTAGAGTGCTAACCGAAACTTCTGGCTCTCAAAGAAGGAGGTGAGCGGTGCCTGATGGACCCTAGCTAAGTTATCAAACCATTAGCAAACTATTTAACTACTTACATTGGGAAAGTGGGCATCAGGGCACTCCTGGCACCATAAGCACTTTAAAGAACACTGTAGTGATCATGGTGCTTTGATTGTTGCTTAGAAGTTGATTGCAGCTAAGTATCATGCAATTTTTTTTTTTTTTGATTTTTTTTTTTGCCAGACTACTAGCAATTTGATTACTCTTCTAACCTTGCATCCCTATGAGTACATGGGTTTTTGGAAGCAGTTTACTCCTAATAGCTCAGCCTTGCTCCTATTTTTCTAAAAGCTCATACTTGATTGTTCCTGTCCTGTTTGCTCCATGTTGTTTCAGCTAGGACACGTATTTTTAATATATGCAATATTCTATGTGAAATAATGTGTGTAAATTACTTTGACAATTACTAATGACACTTAAAGTCAAACTATGAGGTTTTGTTATAGATATTTTCCCACTGCGTAACTTCGCTCATCAAACTAAAAATAACAAAGGACAGTGTAAGTACCATAATCACTACAGCTCAGCATACTGGCTATGCTGTCCTCCGTTTTTGTCAAATTGTTTAGGAGCAGTTTGACAAAAAAAGCAGGGTTCTTCCGCAGCTATCCAGCTGACGGGATAATATGGAAGCTGCGCCTCTGCAATATGAGTATCAAGTTCATCTAAATTTCAGAGCAGTTCTAAGTTCTAAGTGCTGGGGGCAGGTTACCCACAACCCAGCCTATCACGGCCATCCATGACAATAACATGTGGCACGTCCTCCTTATTATTTGCAATAGCCAAATCTTGTAAGAAATAGACAAAATGTATAGAATCTTGGAGTTCTACTTCCAAGACTTTATGCATGCTAGTACATGTGTAAAACAAAAGAAAAACCTGTAAACATAGGGTAATAAAGCGTGTTTCATCTACATAAATCTTCCATTACCTTTTTTATATTGCTTTTGTTTAGTCACCTATGTGAAAATAGATTTACATTACAGCTGTACTGCAAACATGGTATTTTCCCATAAAAGTAAGCAAGACCTACTTGCACATGCACTGTACAGGCGTAGAGGCTTTACATGCATTATCATCTTCCGTGGGAGTAAAAGTATTGGCCGAGATATCTCCTCATTGCTAGATGTGGTTCATGTCTCCCTGAAGGAGTGGGTAACTAAGACAATTGCTGCAGAAAAGACATTTAGTGATAACTATTTATATTTTTCTATTTTTAAATGTTTATATTGTTTGAGATGCTTGCCCTTGAAGCACACAATGATCTTTTTTTTGTTGTCCTTAATCCCCATAACAACAGAGTTGGTAATTTCTCAAGTCATTAATTTCAGAAACTTTAAATGTGAATGGTAGGTGCATGAAATAACAGTGTTAGGCTTTAAAATTGACACAATCCACCCTAACTTAATTTTGCTCATTCTTATTTATTTTTTTCTCCGACTCATTAATGCCTGAAGACTGAAGTAAAGTGGAAACAGACAGAGAAAACACATAGATCTAATGCAAACCAAAAAACCTTTGGAAAGAGTTTTGTTTTATGTGTTTAAAACTGTTGTAGATGAAATATCTGCTTCATTTAAATTGTGAGATCTGCTTAGTGTCTCAATGTTTTAGGTGAAGTAACGTCTTAGATATTTTTGCCAAATGTAATCTTGATGACATGTACATTGTCATCTCAGAAGTCAAGTCACTTGTCTTTCGGTTTAGTTTTACTTGTATCCAGTTGTAATCCGTAGATTTTTTTGCATTGTGTAATGTGACAGTTGCAATCCGGAATAAAATCGCTACAAAAAAAGGCAAAACAGAGTCTAACAATATCTGCAAGAAGCATCCTACATGGCCAGTAACATCAAATTAGTAACACTGAGAGTCCTGTTGTAATCTTGAAAATGTAAAGACTCTGATTGTGGCAACTCCTTACAGTAAGTTATTTGAAGGCTATGCAGTTTGGTAAACAGCACAAAACAAATAACATTCCAATCATAATTCTGTCTTTTCAGCCGGAGGCTATATCTGCTTTCACATCTGATCCAGCATTGCTGTCATTTGCCGAATACTTTTGTAAACCAACAGCTGATATGGGTCAGGTAAAAATTCTGCATGTTTTCATTTCACCCATAGAGTAATTATGTACCACTTAAACGCTTCTCATCCTTAAAGATAAACGAGTACCAGAACAACTTATGCTCATTGCGTATAGCTGCTGTTCTCATCCGTATGAAAGGGATATACACAAAGCACTATAACAATTTGTGCAATGAAGCCAAGACAAGACCCTTGTCTTTGTGCTTATAACTGCAGCAATTAAAAAAAAAAATCACCTCTCTATAAGCCTGTCCTTTTTATTACACTTGTTGAGACTAAACTAAACTTTCTCAAAATCCAACCTGGTATGCATCACGGCTGTGGGTAAGAGGTAAGAGGGGTAAATGCAGGTCTGGAGGTCCTGTCCTAAAAGTGAGCCATTGTGGGTGTCTTTGTTTGCTAAATTTATGAAACTCTCCAGGTCTGTTGGTAGAGCTTCTCAATAGGGAATATAGGGATCTAACCATCTCTATCGCTGCACATAAACTTATACACCAGATGTCTGTAGCTTTTAAATATGCCTGGCCAAGACCAAGAAAGCTGATCCACCTTTGCAGGCCTTGGTTGGTACTTGATTAGAATGGAATAATTGACCTCAGCGATCAATGAAACCACTGATCACTTTTTGAAAATCTGGAACCCGTGGAGACCTTTGCTCCTCAGGACCTTAATCTGAATATCCTAGTGGTGTAGCCCTTGGCAACAGGGACCTGCATGCCTAGCCTCTCAACCCCCCCCTACCCCCCCCCCAATCCCCTTCTCAGTTTTTCATCACTTTTGTAATGTACACAACGTCAATAAAATGTTGCCACTGCCTGTAAAGTGTATTTCCCTGTGCCTCCCTGAGAAAAAATTGGATCACTTTTAACATGGAATGTTAAAGTATATTAGTAAATGAATAAAAAGCTATTAGATGCTTGTTACATAATTTGGCATTATTTATGCCACACTGTGGGTTGCACTCATTGGCTCTGTGAAATACTATGTTTACATTTGCCGGTGTGTGTGGATATAATAGATTCATATACAGTACTGTGCGGTGTCTAAGAACTCCTGGAAAAATTCAAGGGAATATAATTTGTTTTAGTGGTATCAAAGCCACAACATATATAAAGGGACATAACATGTGTGGCCCAAATTCAACTTTACTTAGGTCACGATATTGAAAGACAGGAGGAATTTCAGCACTTGATTCAATACACATGGAATTGTATTGAATTGAAACACAGTATTCAGACAAAAAAAAGTTCTGATTTGGGGGAAAATCAGTTAACCTATCAAACTATAATGATGGCTTGCTTATTTTAGCCTAACAGGGTTATTCACTAAAGTGAGAATGCACAGTGAATTCAAATGGTTCTTCACATTTAAGGCAAGAGTACATTGGTTTGAAAGCATAGCTGTCTTGGCGTTATACTTGATTCTGGCCTCACCTTTAAGTCTCACATCCAGTCTGTTACCAAATCCTGTAGATTCCACCTTAAAAACATAGCCCGCATCCACCCCTTTCTCAGGAGCTTGTCCATGCTCTAGTAATATCTTGCATGGATTATTGTAACTCTCTCCTAATAGGGCTTCCCACAAGTTGTATTGCCCCGCTACAGTCTGTAATGAATGCTGCAGAAGAATGCTCATCCCGAGAATGCGCCCCTACTTGAATGTTGGTCAAAAGATCAACATTGTTTGTTACGAGATCCACACAAGCATCCTTTCTAGTTGGTGCTTGTACCAGTTGTGACATAAAGGTGTAATTTAACACATTCAAAAACTTGAGAGAGTGCTAGTCACTCTATCCAAATTTATGTCCGGGTAATTAAAATCTCCAATAATTAACGTGTTACCCAGATTTACAGCTTTGACAATTTGCTCTAGCAGCTGTTCTTCCTCATTAATATTTACATTTGGTGGTTTATAACATATCCCAACCAATAATTGATTTCCCTTTGTTTGCCCCAAGCAGATATCTAGTCATAAAGCTTCCACATTTTCCTCGTCACACTCCACATGCCTAAGATTTGACTTTAACTCATGGTTGACATACAAACATACCCCACCACCCTTCTTGCTTGTCCTATCCTTCCTAAATAACGTGTACCCATTTAAAGGACCACTATAGGCAACCAGACCACTTCATCTCAATGAAGTGGTCTGGGTTCCAGGTCCAGCTAGGATCAACCCTTTTTTCTATAAACATAGCAGTTTCAGAGAAACTACTATGTTTATAATAGGGTTAATCCAGCCTCTAGTGGCTGTCTCATTGACAGCCGCTAGAGGCGCTTCCGCGCTTCTCACTGTGATTTTCACAGTGAGAAGACGCTAGCGTCCATAGGAAAGCATTGTGAATGCTTTCCTATGGACTGACTGTATGCGCATGCGCATTCAGTCGATGACGAGAAGGAGGAGGAGAGTCCCCCGCCCAGCACTGGAGAAAGAGGTAAATTTAACCCCTTCTACCCCCTAGAGCCCGGCGGGAGGGGGCCACTGAGGGTGGGGGTACCATGACAGATACACACACCATGACGGACAGACACACACACACACACACCATGAATGACAGACAGACACACACACACCCCATGACGGACAGACAGACACACACACACACACCATGACGGACAGACACACACACACACCCCATGAATGACAGACAGACACACACACACCCCATGACGGACAGACAGACACACACACAATCCCCATGACGGACAGAC